GGTGAGCTCATTGTGAAGCCTGGCCCCACCCTATCATGTGAATTCCTGAGGTCAGATGGCCCAGGATATGCGTGGGCATTGAGGCATCTGGGAAGGGATCTCAAAACTGGATTATAGATGGCAGACAGTTGGTGTCGTAAACCACCGCCTCTGTTCAAAGATGGTTGCTCACAGTGGACATAAATGGCTTCCTTTACTCCTCTTTCAAACCATCTGTCCTCTCTGTCCAAAATGTGAAAGTTGGCATCCTCGAAAGAGTGACCTTTGTCCTTTAGATGCAAATGAACTGCTGAGTCCTATCCCGTGGAGGTGGCTCTTCAATGACTACGTTTACATGCAGCCAATATCCGGGTTATGATCGGGTTAAGGTCGGTTTTCGGGTTTCTGAGTTGATCGGGATAACCCGTTTACAAGCAAGAGGCAACCCTAATTTGCATAACCCGTTTTCAATGCGGACTTTGGGGTAGCGTCAGGACGTATGGACGACGTCAAGACGCGTCATTTCCAGGTCATCTTGTTCCGGTATCCGTGAAAACAACAACATGTTTCCCAGTTCGGCAGAGATAGCGGGCGCGTTTGTTTGCGCTTTATTGCTGGTATTGACCCACCGGCAGCTCTTACAACGACTGTGCGTACTGGCCTTCATTCGAAGGAGAGTACGTGAGGAAGAAATTGCAAATATAGAGAGAGCTGCGCTAAACATATCCAACATATCGACGGTACCCGTTACCACCAGAGCCCCGCGGACACTTTGGATGAAGGTGCGCAGCCAGGACTGGTGGGAACTGGTTGTAATGATGGAGTTCACGGACACGGAATGGCGTGAGAATTTCCGTATGTCACGTCAATCTTTTGCTAAACTTTGTGGTATGATGGAAAGAGTGATGGAGCCCAGTGTAGTAACCATCCGCACACCAGTGCCTACAGAAATGGGCGTTGCCATGGTGCTGTATAAACTAGCAAGCTGTGCAGAGTGTCGTTTGATAGCAAACCAATTTGGAGTGCACAAGAGCACCGTGAGGAAGATGGTGTACCTATTCTGCAACGGAATGGTCGACTCAAGTCATCAAAACACTGATCCGGGTACCCACTTTGGAGGAGGCATGTGGCATTGCACAAAGATTTGAACGTGCCCACTCCATTCCTCAAATCATAGGTAAAATATTTCCTGCTCTTATGTCTTGTTAATGTCAATAGTTTTCTGAGAGTAGGCTAAATGTGAACTATACTATGTATGTAGGCTACACTGCTGTGTGCATATTTTTTCGTTTTTTTTTTTTTTTTTACTTTTTATCATAGGTTGTGTGGATGGGAGCCACATCCCTTGCTTGCCTCCAAGTGATGGCTACAGAGACTTCATAAACAGGAAGGGATGGCCATCCTATGTCCTCCAGGGAGTCTGTGATGACAAATACTGGTAGGTGTTTTGCCATTCCCAGCTTTTGTATTCATGATTATGATTTGTATATAATGTTGACAGACACACATCACTAAGCTATATTAGAACCACTCACAAACATCAATTGAGAGGTTCTCTGTTCAAAAAAACATCAACAGCTTATATGTACAAATAATTATGTCATTACTGACCTGAAATAATTTTCCTAACTTTTTGCCACTAATCACACCGCTCCCACTACATCTTGATTCACTGTGATACATTTTCCATAGTTTTTGGAGTGTGAACTGCAAAATGCCTGGTTCAGCACATGACGCCAATGCACTCCGCCAGTCCAATCTGTTCAACAATGCACAATCCTTCCCAAAGGTGGGTAATGCATTAAAACTTTTGGTATTTAAATGCAAGTTGCACACCTGCCACATATCTAAGATGCATTATGACATAATTTAGGAAGAATAATATTTCTATCTGTCCCACTTTGGAGAGCAGTGCAGATCGAGGGGCAGGATGTGGATTTCTTCCTGCTTGGAGTTCCTGCGTACCCACTGATGCCCTGGCTAATGAAGGGCTATCTGCAGTCCCCAAGACTGACACCACAAGAGGAAAGCTTCAACGTCTATTTGAGTTCTGCTAGAACAAGTATAGAGATAGCATTTGGTCGACTGAAATCTCGTTTCCGTGTTCTGTTGAAGCGCAGTGACTTCCATTTTACTTTCACACCATACGTGGTAGCAACCTGTTGTGCTCTACACAACTTTTGTGAGATGGAGAAGGAGCATGTTAATCCCAGATAGGCAGAGGAGGCCACATCAGTAGAAAGGCTGTTTCCACAGCCTGTGTCACAGGTCAATAGGGCTGATAACAGTGCAGCCTCAGCTATCAGACGGGCCCTGATTACCTTGCTGCACGTGTCCCACTCCGTAAGCGCTTGGTAAGAGCGTGAGTGTGCAGGACGAACGGCTCTGATAGGAAACAAACAACTTTAAACTGTAAGCTCGATACTTTTCAAAACGCTTTATTTTCTAAGTTTTAAAAGATGTTTATCTGCCTTCTCCTTTGTTGCTGTGCACCTCTGAAAAAGAACAGGTATATGCAATGTTCAAATAAAATGTCAACACATACAAGTTTTCTAGTAAGTTTAATAGAACATCTGTTCTTTAATAAAGCACATAACAAAATAACATTTTGGTTTTGCTTTTTAAATGTGAGGTTGATTCAGAAATCATTTGAGACATGAGTGCCTCATCACTGGCATGTCTCAACTGCCTTTGCTGCTCAAACCATTGGTTCTGCGTGTGCTGCATTCTCTCCATGAACTGTTGATGTTGAGTAAGTGAAGCAGCTCCACGGTGCCTGGACCTGCGACTTGACCCACCTAGAGCAGACATGACAGGCCTTAGAAAGTGTTGGGTAAGTTCTCTCTTAGTGTTCGACTATTATCACTTTTTGCATTCTTATGAAACTTGTGGATTCTAGAAGATGTTTCTTTACCTTTAGCTGACGTGTCAGAATGTCACCTGCTCCTTCGTCATAAACAAATATCTTCCTACAATTCTGAGTTTACTAAGAATGCAAAAGTGACAATAGTCCTTAGTTTGGGTCAACGGTTATATTACATAATATGTCATAATCACTGTAATCAAATTATCCACTAAAGAAAAGTACTATTTTCAGACATTACACAAGGAGGAGTGACCTGGGGTTACAATACGCTACAACCAGTTATGCCTTTAGTAACAGTATTTAGAAAGCTCACCAGGAGTAGCTGCAGTGGGATTTGATGGCTGTGTAGACTGGCAAGGCACAGTCATTGAAGGTCCACCTTCTCCAATATCTGCATCTGGCCAGACATAAAAACAAGCAAAATGTTACAGCTTGATGTTAAAAAAGATGTTAATGATAGGTTAAACACAGATGGGTCGACGCATGTATCTACCTCCGAGAGCGAAACCCTTTGTTGGTATACGTATGGGATTGAGAAAGTCATGTGACTTACCTGTGTTTTCATCCATAACATCATCATCCTCTCCTTCAAGATGAACCAGACCGATGAAGACAGAGGTTTCCTCGTCACTCCAAAAGTGTGGTGCTGTGCCGGCTGCGACTCGCCATGTTGCTCCCAACTTGTTTACTTCCGGTGTTCTGGCGCATACAAGATGTGTCGCTACTCAAAAGACCAAGATTCCTTGCGAACAGAGCATGCGCAGAACACACACTTTGATGGGGATATCCCGGTATGCGTTTACACGACCAAACATTCGGGTTAGAAAAGGGTTACCCCAGGTGTAGTAACCGGGTTTTTAAAAACCCGGTTATGAGCATATCCGGGTTTTTGACGGTGTTTACATGGCCGTGCCGAACCGGGTTATTGCGAATATCCGGGTTTTAAAAGGGTTACTGGCTGCATGTAAACGCACTATGTTGTGCCATGCGCTTGTGAAGTGGCTGTTTGGTTTCTCCGATGTAGAGGTCTGGGCATTCCTCGCTGCACTGTACAGCATACACCACATTGTTCAGTTTGTGTTTAGGAGTTTTGTCTTTTGGGTGAACCAGTTTCTGTCAGGAGCATCAGTGAGTTTGTGGCCGCTGCTCAGGGGGAGGGGGAGAGGGCTGAAGCAGGGGGAGGGGGGAGAGGGCTGAAGCAGGGGAACAGTAAATATGCAGAAACTACCGTTGTTGAAAGAGACGTGTTTAACTTTGAAAATGTGGGCGCAATTTTAATTACTTGTCAACTTTTTTCTTCAACGTTAAAACTGCTGCACAAAAAAAAAGACTGCTGCTCACGTGGGCCCCCTTTTTGCTGTGGGCCCCAGGGCCTGTGCCCAGTTTGCCCATATTATAATCCGGCCTTGGGTTTAGACTGCTGGAGGACACACTGACCACTTTCCACAATCTACTACTTTCTTCTACAATCTGCTCTTTAACTGTATTATTTTCTTCTATTTCAGCTGTTACCTTTATTTTTTCTCTAAGTGTTTTTCTCCCCAGAAGACGCTACAATGATGTTCTGCTGAGCTGTGGTGGCCTCATGGAGGGAGCCATCGTCTAGCACACTGCTGCTAACCACTTAAACATTCTCCCTCTCCTGATAATAACATATTACTTTCTTTGACATTGAATGTGCTACTACTAGTTTACCCATTTAATTATAGATTCACTAGGATAAATACAATAAAGTTTATCTCACCAAATAGAATATTTACTAAGAAATCACAATGTAACCATAGAAACATGACTTGGTGTGTGTGTGTGTGTGTGTGTTGTCTTCTCCATCCCCAGGGAGTCATGGTGGATGGCTGCTTATACTGAGCCAGGATCCTCTCGAGGTTTCTTCCTGTTAAAATTGAGTTTTCCTCTCCACTGTCACTGCATGCTTGCTTAGTATGAGGATTGCTGCAAAGACTCTGACACTAGTCAGTGACTCGATGCAACCTGCTGGGTTCCTTATATAAGAAACTTTTTACTGGCTGGCTTAATAAACTGACCTGTATTGGAATGTTTACTGTGTGAAGGTCCTTGAGACGACTCTGGTCGAGATTTCGCGCTTTATAAATAAACTTGAATTGAATTAAACTCGCTTTCTGTAACTCCCCTCCGGTCCAGTCGGTGGCGCTAATACGCCACAACGTTACTGACTAAACAAGAAGAAGAACACGCTCAGACAACAGACGCAGTCCGCCATTTGGCTCCTTCAAGTCCTTGTAAGAGTACTTAAAGATAACAGTTTATTTGAAATATTAGCATATTATAATTGTAAGTTTGTTCTTTAGCATTACGTGCGCGTGAAGCAACAGCACATCTCAGTGATGGCGGCCGAGCGGCGCGAGGACAAAGGTGGGTTAGCTGTTAGCGTAAGCTAGCGTCTTGTTGCTCTTCAGAGTCAGCATGAATGTTGGTTTCATGGTTTCATTCCACTGCAGGAGTCAGTACGCCAACCGTTTAACTCCCTGAAAACCAACTGTTCTGTAGGCTCTTAAATGGCGAAAAACGCAGATATGCACAGTCCCATTGCGCATGCGCCAACCGGACCACGCTGCACAAGTCCGTGTTCTGATTCTTGTTTATCTTTATTTAGGTTACGTTTTTATCCAACATAACTTACAGCTGACTGCAGGTTACAGGGCAGTAAATGTACCTAACAGGGGCCAGTGGAGACTCTGGTCCTGAACGGGTCTTTGAGTCCGGATTCCCGGTCCACAGTGGCGTGTCCAGATCTTTTAAAATGGGGTGGCCCATGTGAGGCACAACTTTGTGCATGGGTGGCACCAATGGTTATGCTTTTTTAGTTTTACCCCCAAGCCTTTTGTGGACAATGAAAAGCCTATTTAAAGGTAAATTAGTGTGGTGGTACTTGGGGTGGCCAGTCAGATTCCAAGGGTGGCATGTGCTACCCCAGGCCACTCCCTGAACACGCCCCTGCCGGTCCACATCTCCATCAGCGGAGAAAGTCATGTTTAGCTGACTTTTAGGCCGGGAACACACCGGCCGCTGAAGCGCTCACGAAATTTGGCCGCTGCTCCTCAGTTCAGACCAAACGCTTGTTTCTCCGCTCCCGTCGAGGCGCGCGCGCCTCATAGTTTTTCCTTTTAACCACTTGGTGTCCTCCATTTCCACTCTGGCTTTTCTCTGCTCTTTTCCTCTACCCCCCCCCCCCCCCCCCTGCTGTTTGTGTGTGGGATCCTATGGTGTGAACCAGTTGTTAATAGCCGGCCTACGACTTTCTGCTTCTGTCCTGTTTGCTCCGGTTGAAAGACTCCCAAAACCACACCCCCTTCACGTGGTCACACGCACAAGTTCGGTGTGTGTGTGTGGTTTACGAACATTTGACTATCACGGAATTGTATTTTGTTAAATTTGCCAGCCTGCCTCTTCTGTTTTGGTTTGACTTCCTGCCAGAATTGACGCGGTTCATCCGCGGCTCGCGAAAAAATAGAGCAGACACCGAAACGATCGCTGCACGGCCCATGTGACCTATTGAATAGGTTAACAAGGGCGCCGAATGAAGGAGGTCCCCGTTTCGCGGCGCTTCGGCGGCCGGTGTACCCCCGGTGTTACGTTCAACCGGTGTTACGTCGATATGTGTTCCCCCCTCGAGATCGGTTTCTTTTGCACCCAGCTGCAAGTGGAAACGACCCAACCACAAGAAATAACCCTGAAACAAACATAAAAAATGTGCTACACATAATATTTTAAAAATTATATTTATGCAAAACATACATTTTTGGTGCCGGGGTGGTTATGGTTAGGGTTATTTCTTGTGATGGGGTCATTTCCATTTGCAGTTGGGTGCAAAAGAAACAGATCTCGAGGGAGGAACACATATCGGCCTAACACCGGCATCATATCAAAGCTGTTTCTGTGGTTTTTGGTGGTTAAAGTTTTATTTCCTGCTTGATTTGGGACATTTCATACAAAGACAAAACAACCTAATGTAATGTTTGCCCGCTGTGGCCTGGTAGCAAGTTGTTAAAAGAGGATAGAGATCAGTATCTGCAGAAACTGTCTCAAATCAACCAAGTAGGTCTCTACAACCTCAAAGGAAACAAACGAGCTCAGACTTCATTACTGCTGAAAATACATACCCGAGTAAGCATAGTACTACTTCAACATACTTGTCATCTAGTAACAGTAAAAAGTAGCCGTCCAGACTCCACAAACACAGGAGCTGCTCCAGGTTTCATGTCTGGATGAGCCTTAATTAAACACGTTATTATTAATAAGTCACAAGCAGCTACAGAAACACCCACATCAGAGGTTAGCTACATGTTTGTTTCCATAAACGGTCGTGATCGTTTCCTCCCGTTATTTTCATTTCTCATTAAATAAAAATTCATTAATATTTAATCCAAACAAGCTGACCAGCGTGCCCAGCATCATATTTATGTCACTTTTAAATCATTTCACCTGAAGTAGCAACGCTTTACCTGCTGGTTCTGCGACACCGAGCTGCTGATCGTGGTGTCCGGGTTTGAGATGGTGCTCAGATGTTCTGATGGAAAGCTTCTCTTGATAGATCTTGTTACCTCCTGATGTTCTCTGGGTAACGTTTATGATGTCTGCTCACCTGCATGCGTCGGGGTAATTCCAGTCTGTCAGAATGACCAACACAGAGATTTCTCCATCAAATTTTTAACGGACAAAAACGTAAAATATCCGAAATACCAGTGAGCTCTATTTTCTCTTTAATGTATTCGGGACATTGCACATTAATGAACAATCAAGTACTTCTGTACAGACTGTAAGTGAGCCAGATTATAGCACAGTTGCTAATTTCCATCTGTAGTCCCTAGGCACTGTAGGCAGGAAAGCCAACATTGAATTTGCTGACAACATACAATTCTAAAACAACAATCTCATTACAGACAAACAAATTCAACAATAAAGATTAGTGGGGTGTGTGCATGACTGGGAACGTTTGAGTGCTTTTTGAAAATCCTGTAAGTGGGACAGTCTCTACTATTCCGTGGTACGTTGTTCCGAAAGTGAGTCCCTCTGACTGCCAGAGCCGTTTTGTCCGAAGGTTGTTTTCTGTAGGGAATCTCCAGGTCTCTACCAGAGGAGGCTCTGGTACCAAAACCATTCAGTTCTTAGTTTGGTGGAGGTGGGGCAAGTCCATGCAGACCTTTGTAGATTAAGCATATTGTATTTTTCCAGAATAGTACACAGGTCAAAAGATTTTTCATCAAGAATTATTACAGACTTTTTGAATAACATTTCTGTTGGTTTTAAGGGTGTGTGTCCAGGTTGTAATGCAATACTCTATGGTTTAAAGTTATGTACATTGGATCTGATGTGTTCGCTATGACTCTACAGGTGCTGGCCAGTAAATTAGAATATCATCAAAAGGTTGAAAATATTTCAGTAATTCCATTCACAACGTGAAACTTGTACATTATATTCATGCAATTAGGGCTGCAACAAACGATTATTTGGATAATCGATTAATCGGATGGGGTCTCGACACGATTAATCGATTAATCGGATTACATGGGGAAATTTTTAAAAACTGCTAGGGAAACGTTATTTCTCTCCTTCCTTCACTTTATTTAACACAACATTATTAGAAAACAGTTCAATAGCAGAAAAACAACATGCCATCACCTAAATTGTCTTATAAGGTGTATAGACAGAGACCCTAAGCTACATCTATCTGTGACCTAAAATGCTTGGTCCAAGTTAAACAGCTTAAGGGCAATTCTCATCTGTTTTGTTTGATCTCATCTGTTGACATTTATTTTAAATGTAATTAAACATAGGCTGTGAATTTATCAAAATTGATCACTATTTCCAAAAATGACTGAAAAAATACCAAATAAAACAAAAGTAAATGAATGCCATCCTCCTTGCGATGATGCCCTGGGCAACTGCCATAAAGTCACATCAAGAAATGCTGCTGATCATTCCAATGATCCCAAATAGACTCACATTAGGCCACATGAAAGCAACTGAACCCAAAAATATATTAACCAGTATATAACTGCACTCTCACACAACACGCCTGCAGCAACAGTTAGGACTCCTCCCTCCCTTTTAAAAGCGTTTTTGCTTCCGAGGACATTGTGGTTGTAAAACCACATGCTAGTAGTCTGGCCCCGGTGTGATCAACCAGTTTCTGCGGGAATGTGACGGCGGAACCAGGGCCAGATTAACACTTTGTTGTACCCTGGGCAACAATATTCAAGGGCTCCATCATCACGACCCAAGGATCACCATAATGTGGTCACATACAGAATATTTTACTGTAATATGCAGTAAATATACTCAATACTTGAATGCCTGACAACACGTAACCCGCCCAGAGTAACCTTTGACCCACCTCGTGTGGACTGACCAATGAGGAGAGGGTCTTAACTTGAGGCCCTCTCTTCATTGGTCAGTCTGCATGAGACTGACTCTCAACTGACGTTCAGTCGTAGGCAGCGAAGCGTCTCTGTGCAGTGCAAAAGCCCGGGTGGACAGTTTGTTTAATGTAGGGTGACCATATTTCCATTTCCAAACAAGAGGACAGGGGATCTGTGCCTATGACGTCACACTATGGCAACGCCACACAAACCATGTTGGGACCCATTTTTTGTAAGAACTAAATTAATATCAGATTCTGCCAATTAAAGGGCTCTAAAACAATTCATATGTAAATATTTTGCATATTTAATGCAAAATCTAATTTTTCTGCTTTAGTGCTGCAACAAGGTTTTATTAATAATAAATTATTATACCTTTTGTTTTACTACAGCATCGGTAAGCTTCCTGTGCACAGATTATTAAGGATGCTTGTTTCAGCTGTGAGATTAGACGATAGGATCAATGAAAAAATAAGTTGTCACAAACTCCATGGAAACTTTCAGAGAATCCACAAATAGTGGCTTTCAAATGGTTTTGTTACTTTTTGCAAGTTTATAAAAGAAGCAGATGAGACAGCATGTCTGATAATTTAGTTTTTCATCTGATAATATTAGAGCATGTCAGTAATGTCTGAGGGGCTTTTATAAACACCGTATAACTAACACTACTGGAGAGGGCATGAATTACACAGAGGCTTCTGGGGAGCCCAGTTATTGCGGGGGGGGGGGGGGGGGGCGCATTTTGCCTTGGCCCCCAAAATGTCTTGAAACGGCCCTGGGTGTGTGACTGAGTTTTGAAGGTGATCTGAATTGTATCAGATGTATAAATATGACATGTGTATAACTTATTGTTTTTTACTGGTAAAAACGTGTCGTGGAGATAAATCTACCTACATTTTACTTTTCAACACTTTGTTTTGTTTTCTTGTTTTTATTGAACTATTTTCCTGTCCTGTCTGTCTCTCATCTTCCTGCATCTCCTCTTAGTTCTCCAGAAAATCTGTTGCCTGGATTCTTACCTTTTCACCTCATCAGTTACTTTTGAGCAGGTCAAAGGGATCTCCTGACCGAAAAGCGCAGAGCGCGTTTTCGATGCTGCGTGAGGTGACATCACCACAGCACAGGTGATGAGCTCCGCAGTAGCGCGCTTCAGGCACAAATAAGACAGAAAATAGAGAACATGTGCGGACATGAACGATCGTGTGCTAATTATAGTTTTTTGGTTGCGCCACTTTGAGAATGGACCGTGCGCTGGAAGCAGCTGCCTGGATCGCTGTGCAACAATGCGGAACCGGTTCGCAGCAGCGCAAGTCTGCCGGGTCTCCCTCACGCTGATCTGCGGCTCTCCCTCGCGCTGATCTGCGGCTCTCCCTCGCGCTGATCTGCCGGTACCGGCTCTCCCTCACGCTGATCTGCGGCTCTCCCTCGCGCTGATCTGCGGCTCTCCCTCGCGCTGATCTGCGGCTCTCCCTCGCGCTGATCTGCCGGCTCTCCCTCGCGCTGATCTGCGGCTCTCCCTCGCGCTGATCTGCGGCTCTCCCTCGCACTGATCTGCGGCTCTCCCTCGCGCTGATCTGACTTGCTCTGGTCTGCGCGCAACGGCGGGCGGGAAGGGGGGGCGCTTTTGGAAGAGTTGTGCGACACAACGAATCGATGACGCAATTCGTTGCCAACGCTTTTAGTAATCGATTTTCATCGAATTTATCGATTCGTTGTTGCAGCCCTACATGCAATGCACACAGACCAATGTATTTCCGATGTTTATTACGTTTAATTTTGATATTTATAGGTGACAACCAATGAAAACATCAAATCTGGTATCTCAGAAAATTAGAATATTCTAAAGGCCAATGAAAAAATGTTTGTTTCTCTAATGTTGGCCAACTGAAAAGAATGAACATGAAAAGAATGTGCATGTATAGCACTCAATACTTAGTCGGGGCTCCTTTTGCCTCAATAACTGCAGTAATGCGGCGTGGCATGGACTCGATCAGTCTGTGGCACTGCTCAGGTGTTATGAGAGCCCAGGTTGCTCTGATAGTCGTCTTCAGCTCCTCTGCATTGTTGGGTCTAGCGTATTGCATCCTCCGCTTCACAATACCCCATAGATTTTCTATGGGGTTAAGGTCAGGCGAGTTTGCTGGCCAATCAAGGACAGGGATACCATGGTCCTTGAACCAGGTGCTGGTGGTTTTGGCACTGTGTGCAGGTGCCAAGTCCTGTTGAAAGGTGAAGTCTGCATCCCCATAAAGTTGGTCAGCAGCAGGAAGCATGAAGTGCTCTAAAACTTCCTGGTAGACGGCTGCATTGACCCTGGACCTCAGGAAACAGAGTGGGCCAACACCGGCAGATGACATGGCACCCCACACCATCACTGACGGTGGAAACTTTACACTGGACCTCATGCAACGTGGATTCTGTGCTTCTCCGCTCTTCCTCCAGACTCTGGGTCCTTGATTTCCAAAGGAAATGCAGAACTTGCTTTCATCAGAAAACATAACTTTGGACCACTCAGCATCAGTCCAGTCCTTTTTGTCCTTGGCCCAGGCGAGACGCTTCTTGCGCTGTTTCATGTTCAAGAGTGGCTTGACACACGGAATGCGACACCTGAATCCCATGTCTTTCATGAGTCTCCTCGTGGTGGTTCTTGAAGCGCTGACTCCAGCTGCAGTCCACTCTTTGTGGATCTCCCCCACATTTTTGAATGGGTTTGTCGTCACAATTCTCTGCAGGGTGCGGTTATCCCTAGAGCTTGTACACTTTTTTCTACCACATTTTTTCCGTCCCTTCGCCTGTCTGTTAATGTGCTTGGACACAGAGCTCTGCGAACAGCCAGCTTCTTTAGCAATCACCTTTTGTGTCTTGCCCTCCTTGTGCAAGGTGTCAATGATTGTCTTTTGGACAGCTGTTAAGTCAGAAGTCTTCCCCATGATTGTGGTGCCTTCAAAACAAGACTGAGGGACCTTTTAAAGGCCTTTGCAGGTGTTTTGAGTAAATCAGCTGATTAGAGTGGCAGCAGGTGTCTTCTATATTCAGCCTTTTCAGAATATTCTAATTTTTTGAGATACCAAATTTGGAGTTTTCATTAGTTGTCACTTATGAATATCAAATTTAAATGTAATGAACATTGGAAATACATTGGTCTGTGTGCATTGCATGAATATAATGTACAAGTTTCACGTTTTGAATGGAATTACTGAAATATTTTCAACCTTTTGATGATATTCTAATTTACTGGCCAGCACCTGTATGTGTTGTTTAAAAGATGGTGTCGAATCCAGGGTGATCCCGAAGTACTCTTGTACAAGGTCAAGCTCTACTCTCTGGACCGCTCCAGTTTCACCAGTTTTTTTTTTTAAGGGATGCACCTTATATTGGTATCGGCCGATAATAGTCATTTTTAGCATATCGGTGTCGGTCTGATAAATAAAACTGGGCCGATATTAACACCAGAAACTGAGGCCCTGTCCACACGTAGCCGGGGATCTGCCAAAACGTAGATATTTGTCTACGTTTTGGTCTGTCATCCACACGAAAACGGATCTTTTTAAAAACTCCGGCCAAAGTGAAGATCTGCGTTTTCTCCGTTTTGGGTGTCGGCGTGTGGACAGACAAAACCGGAGTTTTAAGGTCCGCAACGTCACTTTCCGCGACAAAAAATGCTGACATCACGTGTGCGACCTGTGTTTACACTAGCCGGCATCATGGAAGCCTTCAGAGCTGCGCTCTGTCACTACCCGATCCATCAATTGTCCAAGCGCTTTCTGCTTGTTTGTTTTTGCAAGAGGAATTACTGCTCCTTGCGGAAGACCACAGACGAAGGACGAGGATAAGAACGGGGGAAGTGCTGCCGCCTACAGGTCTGGCATGTCCTTAACAACGTCTTTATCCGGGTACGTGTGGACAGAGTTTTTTTTAAAACGCGGGGGTGTGGATGCAAGTTTTTGGAGGGGCGGATATTCGTTTTCAAAAAACCCCAGCTACGTGTGGACTAGGCCTGAGTTAAGCCTGGCGCTCCTCCACGCGCGCTCCATCCCTCAGCGCTCCATTGTGAGAGCGGGGGTGGGGTGGTTGTACAGTTCTGCTGCTGTTTCTCACCAGTATCAGCTGATGGAAGGCTCTAGTTTTGTTGCATCGTTTGTGTCCGCTTATAAAGCGCTGGGGGAAACCCTGCATTTAAAACCAGACTGAGAGCCTTGAGGCGGGTTCCCTGTGTTGTAACTGCCTTCTGTAATTTAGTACATAGCGTGATTGTAGTTGCTAGCATTAGCCACTAGCTTGCTCTATCCTAGTGGTTGTTGCGTGTATTCTCACACGTCTGCTCGATCGGGGAACCTCCAGGTGAAACGTTCTGCTCTGAACTTTTGCGTTTGGCTTTGTGGGGACGTTTGTGTGTGTTTTAGCGAGCCTTACCCTGTGGCTGCCGACCACAGCTTTGTTAATGCCAAACCCCTCCGCTGCGTAGTCGGGGCACAGCTACGGAGAGCAGTAACCCCGGTTTCACACTGCAAGCATCAGCGGAACGGAACAGCAGCAGAGCGGCTCACTCGCGAACTTCAAAGCGGTCCTTTTCACACCGGGAGAGTCTTGGCCGCCGCACAGCTTCCTCGCTGTGCCTCGCTGTACCCGCAAGATTCTAAAATCCCTCGAGACTTCCGACACCTTCCTCATCGAGAGATCTCAACCCCCGCGAGGAATCACACCGTTGCACTTCCCGAAAGAAACTGGTGTTAACCAAAGCCGTTCGGTCACACGTACTGACGTAAGTTATAAATAACATCGCAACGTTGCATTTTATTTTGAAAATAACCGGGGATTTTACACAGAAACTGTGTGGTTTCCTGTCTCGCATAATGTGAACTGCGGAAATTGGTAGAAGTTGAATACCTCTACCTGCCTGTGGGACATTGGGACACGTCTCTCTCGCTCTCCACTGTGATTAGAGAGATAAATAGATGCTTCATAATTTATGTATTTTACTGCTAAATAACTAAAATGTCTGAATTGTCAAAATAGAAAAGATGCGCTAAAATTGGGATTTTGAGTTTGCAAAAACAAAATTGTGACATGAATATTTTTCCATTGGCCGGGTCTTCGTGGCTGCTATGTTAGGCTTGGCCGTTGGTAATCGTTGAAGTTGTTGTTCATGGGTGTCCCTCTCTTTCAGATGGAGAACTCATTGTTCTTGAGGATTTGCTGACTGAAGCTCCAGATCATGATGATGAGCTCTACAACCCCGAGACAGAGCGAGACATCAGCGACAAGAAAGGTACTCGTACTCATACTTGTGGCACTTTGGTTGGTTGTGTCTGACAGTAGCTTTTATCCAACAACACTTCTCTTGTGTTTACTGTGGTTGTGCCAGAAAACCACACTTAGAAATCAGAGTGGAAAGGTGATTACTACTGAGACCAACAATGATGGGTGTCTTGATGCAATTTGCTGGGTTCCTTATATAGGAAACATTATTTCTGATTGGCTTAATGAACTGTGAATTGGAATGTTATGTGAAGTGCCTTGAGACGACTCTTGTCGACTCTTGTCGTGATTTGGCGCTATATAAATAAAATTGAATTGAATTGAATTTATATTGCACTTTGGAAGGCTGCTGGTTAGGGTAAGATGCTACATGGCCACAGCCACCCTGGGGCAGCCTGACTGATGCATGGTTGCCATTTGCACCATGGACGTCTGTAACCACCACCAACCAGGGTTGTCGTGGTAACCAGTGTAGCGGTAAACCCCGGTAAAAAAGTTGACAAAAATAATAACCGTCTTGTTTTTTAAAAGATATATTATCTCGGTGGGTTTACCGTGGCTATGACCCTTATCAGCCACCGTATCATCTGCTGAAGTTGCCGGCGGCACATGCACACTTTGTTGTTTACGACCAAAACTTTCTTGAAGCTAAAGCTGAAATAATGGCCAAAGGAGGAGACGGCAGCGTTCAGGACATTTATTATCCCTCAAAGAAGACAAAGTGGGAAGTACGGGCATTTTTTGGATATTTGAAGAATGCCGAGGGGCAGTTGATAGAAGACGGCTATCCTGTTTGCAGCACGTGCAGAAAAAGTGTCTGTGAAAGGCAGCAACGCTTCAAATCTCATGACACATCTGCGTGACCATCACCCACAACTCTACAGTCAACGCAAGGCAAGTTAGCGTTTTAGCTAAAATGCGTGATCCAAGGATTTGGGTTGAGGGAGAATGCAACGAGTCGCTATATAAAGCAGCCGCAGCGCCGCTACCTGCATATAAACCGTGTCGGGGACACCCCCATGTTGAAATGACGCTATGCATTACAGGCATGTAATCAAATTTACATTTACGCAACATTTGGACTGAAAGAAATAATTTTATGAGACCAAAAAATAAACTTTTATTAAAAATAATAGTCGTGGTGGATGGCTGCTTATGGGCCATTTCCATCTGTACCGGGTCGGCCCGGGCCGGGTAGCATAGGTTGTTTACATATCTGGGTGGCCTGGTATTTTTCCGGGCCAACCAAGGCTCATTCTCAGTCCTCTTCTCGAGGGGGTCTGCTTCAGGCCGACCAGGGCCAACACACCCACTGCTGACAGCAAATTCACACCTTCCATTAGAGCAAGCCTCTGATTGGTGGGTAGAATCAGCCCACATGGGCTTAAGACAAGGATGTGTGGAATCAACCGGGCCAGGCTGGGGCCGACTGGGGCTACCCGGCCCGGGCCGACCCGGTACAGATGAGAATGGCCCATTATACTGCGCCAGGATCCTCTGGAGGTTTCTTCCTGTTAAACGGGAGTTTTCCTCTCCACTGTCGCTGCATGCTTGCTTAGTATGAGGATTGCTGTAAAGACTCTGAAGTTAGTCAGTGACTCGATGCAACCTGCTGGGTTCCTTATATAGGAAACTTTACTGATTGGCTTAATGACCTGACCAGTACTGTTTACTGTGTGAAGTGCCTTGAGACGACTGGTTGTGATGTAGAGCTTTTTAAATAAAGTTGAATTGAATCTGTTGCTGGTGTCAACGTTCTGCCAGGCTACGCACGGCAGTGTGGGGCTCATTCTGTTCACTACCGTAAATAAAATGCTCCAGCGCCGTGCTTTCTTAACCGCTTCATGTTTGAGTCGACATGAGTTTCCCAGAGTGCTTGGCGGCATGTAGGTGTGGTCTGGCAGAGCCTTGAGTGAGAGGGAAGTGACTGTTCTTAACCTGACTTGTGAGTGTCTGCGATGCCTGATCTGATGTCATCGCTGACTCAACTGCTACAAAACTACACACAAGTGCACTTTATGGAGGTGACCAGCAGCTAACCGGACAAAGCTGTTATAGCCGGTTACGACCTTTACGGCAGTTAACCGGTTAACTTTGTTCATCCCTAGTGCAAGTACAGTCTGGAGCTTGTTTCCAGGCCAGACTACCACTGGTGTCTCATTTTGTGTGTGTGATTAAACCCTGATCTCGTCTTTCAGGTACAAAGAGAAAGAGCGAACGCTCTGAAAGCCGGGATCTAAAGAGGCTTCGCTCCTCATCGGGCCACATCCCCTCCAGATCTTCATCTGCAGTTAAGAGGGGTCTGGGATTGTCCTCTAAGAAGTCATCCAGCCCTCGCAGCCGCCATTCCACCACCTACCGTCACGATTACTACGACGAACGAAAGGGGAGGCAAGGGTCCAGAGAAGGGCCCCGGAGCCGTGGAGGAGAGGACGCACGGCGGAGAGAGTCCCAACGAGGCCTAGAGGGTCTGAGCCGGGTACTGCTGCTCTCAGTGACTGTTGATTCAAGTACAAGTTCCCAAAGTAGACTGCTGTAGAAAACGTTCCATTATTCAGTCAATTGTGTCTACCTTACAGTAGAGCGGGACGATAAAACGACAGCACTGGACCCGTCGGTGGCTGGAGTAGAGCTGTGCTAAAGCACGTAGCCGTCTAGCTGCAAACGGCTAACGTTAGCAGCTGTAGCTTTGTACCACAGGTAACAGGTGCGACTCGGCTGAGGAGGAGGACAGTGAATGACGTCGTTAGAAATACCAGACTTGGCGTTTCTGTCATGTGGACGTATTCTACCTAGGTAACTTAATAGCCGTGACCAGTCGAAGTATTTATTGTTGTGAGCCTCACCACAATATCGCAGTAAATATCGTATCGTGCGTCGCTTTTCTGCCACCCGCTGAACAGCAGGAATGTAAAGCTACGACGCTAATGTTGATGTTCAGTTCTTTTAATGAGAACGGCATCACGGGCGCGTTGCTGCCCTCGTCAGGTCAGGGGTGTAAACAACGCTGCTTCACCTTCATATCTGAAACCTGCCACTGTGGCGTGGGCGTTGTGCCCATTAACCCGCCGCTTCATGGGTTTACCCCATTTAGCCGTGGCCAGTGCTAATTTCCACTCCTGACCAGGACATGAATATGCTAATGAGCTGCTTGCTGATTGGTCGGTTTAAACCAGAAGGCCTATGGCACTGGAGACTGCGGGTTGGAGGAGGAAGGGCTCCACATTGTGACGTTTTTATGAGAAGTTTCTCAGAAAAGTTTTGCTCTGGCATTTTTAAACTTTCTAATTTACATAAAAAGCAGGTCACAAATGGCTTTGACCTTCTGGCGTGCTACTTCTATTAACAAACAACAAGAAAATGTTGGTCTAGATTCTGTGTCCCCTTCAAAGTTCTCATCATATAGCTTAGAAAATCACGTACCTAATTTTCTGACCTGTTTAGTGTGAGCAAGCGTTAAAAAAGAGGTCTTCAAATGAGCTTTGCTTTTTGAAATGAATGGGGAAATTTAACTAACAATATTCTAATGTTAAAGTTAAAAGTTATTCTGCCAATAACAGTTACTTCCTGTTTGCCATCAGAAGTTGCGGCGTGATGAACGGCGAACGACGCTTTCCCCCCATAATGATGAGAACCAGTCAGAGGAAGAGCCGGAGTATGGTTCGGAGCAGGCATCGGGCAGTTCCTCCCACGTAGAGGAGGAGGAAGAGGAGGAGGATCAGGAGGAAGATGAGGAGGGCATGGAGGAGGAAGAGGATGAGGAGGAAGGAGAGAAAGAGGAAGAAGAAGAAGAGGAGGAATATGACGAGCGTCGTGGTGGTGAGGGAAACGACTATGACACAAGGAGTGAAGCTGGAGATTCGCGATCTGCCTCCTCTGTGAGTTTCTCTGATGATGGTGAATCAGCCCACACAGGCTCCGCCTCTGAGGCCTCAGGTAATCGTGGCAGCAGGTGTTTAGCTTTCGTCCAGACTGGCTGACGTTAACTCCGATCGTGTGCTTTCGTTTTGGCAGAATCGGAGAAGAAGCGAGAAAAGCTGTCGTCGTCAGTTCGAGCTGTTCGAAAAGGGATGGAGAGTAAGAAGGCCTCCAGCTCCTTATGTCGTTTCACAGCATTCACCTCATTTGCTCACACTTGTGACGTCATCTGATTACAGAAACTTCCTGTGCCGTTGCAGATCCCACCAACAAACTCCGTTACATCCTGCGAGATGCTCGCTTCTTCCTCATTAAGAGCAACAACCATGAAAATGTTTCCCTGGCCAAAGCAAAGGTGTGCTTCAGCCCCCGTCTGGTTTGCAGCTCTTTCACTGTTGGGTTCACATGCCTTATAAAGCACCGTGTCACCACACAAGTCTCTAAACTCTGTGTCACCACACAAGTCTCTAAACACTGTTTCACCACACAAGTCTCTAAACACTGTTTCACCACACAAGTCTCTAAACACTGTTTCACCACACAAGTCTCTAAACACGGTTTCACCACACAAGTCTCTAAACACTGTTTCACCACATAAGTCTCTAAACACTGTTTCACCACACAAGTCTCTAAACACTGTTTCACCACACAAGTCTCTAAACACGGTTTCACCACACAAGTCTCTAAACACTGTTTCACCACATAAGTCTCTAAACACTGTTTCACCACACAAGTCTCTAAACACGGTTTCACCACACAAGTCTAAACACGGTTTCACCACACAAGTCTCTAAACACTGTTTCACCACACATGTCTCTAAACACTGTTTCACCACACAAGTCTCTAAACACTGTTTCACCACACAAGTCTCTAAACACTGTTTCACCACACAAGTCTCTAAACACTGTTTCACCACACAAGTCTCTAAACTCTGTGTCACCACACAAGTCTCTAAACACTGTTTCACCACACAAGTCTCTAAACACTGTTTCACCACACAAGTCTCTAAACACGGTTTCACCACACAAGTCTCTAAACACTGTTTCACCACACAAGTCTCTAAACACTGTTTCACCACACAAGTCTCTAAACACTGTTTCACCACACAAGTCTCTAAACACTGTTTCACCACACAAGTCTCTAAACACTGTTTCACCACACAAGTCTCTAAACACGGTTTCACCACACAAGTCTCTAAACACTGTTTCACCACACAAGTCTCTAAACACTGTTTCACCACACAAGTCTCTAAACACTGTTTCACCACATAAGTCTCTAAACACTGTTTCACCACACATGTCTCTAAACACTGTTTCACCACACAAGTCTCTAAACACTGTTTCACCACACAAGTCTCTAAACACTGTTTCACCACACAAGTCTCTAAACACTGTTTCACCACACAAGTCTCTAAACACGGTTTCACCACACAAGTCTCTAAACACGGTTTCGCCACACAAGTCTCTAAACACGGTTTCACCACACAAGTCTCTAAACACTGTTTCACCACACAAGTCTCTAAACACTGTTTCACCACACAAGTCTCTAAACACTGTTTCACCACACAAGTCTCTAAACACTGTTTCACCACACAAGTCTCTAAACACTGTTTCACCACACAAGTCTCTAAACACTGTTTCACCACACAAGTCTCTAAACACTGTTTCACCACACAAGTCTCGAAACACTGTTTCACCACACAAGTCTCTAAACACTACACAAAACACAAGCACCGTGTGTCACCACACAAGTCTCTAAACTCCGTGTCACCACACAAGTCTCTACATACTACACAAAACACAAGCACCGTGTCATCACACAAGTCTCTAAACTCCGTGTCACCACACAAGTCTAAATACTACACAAAACACAAGCACCGTGTCACCACACAAGTCTCTAAACTCCGTGTCACCACACAAGTCTAAATACTACACAAAACACAAGCACCGTGTCACCACACAAGTCTCAAAACACAAGCACCGTGTCACCACACAAGTCTCTAAACACTCACCACACAAGTCTCTAAACACTGTCACCACACAAGTCTCTAAACTCTGTGTCACCACACAAGTCTCTACACACTACACAAAACACAAGCACCGTGTCATCACACAAGTCGCAACATAATTACAAAATGCCAGGGTGTCCTGGTGCCAGCTGCACCTATGGTCATCTCTATGTTTCTGTCTCTTCTATCGCTCCACGCGTTTATGGATAGTTTGATGTTACCATTGAGTTGTGGTCCAGTTCTGATGAATGTAATTGTCTGGATGTGGCGAGGGTTAGGGGTGGTGTGGATAATCCTGTGACGTGTCTGATCTGTCTGCAGGGTGTTTGGTCGACACTGCCAGTCAACGAGAAGAAACTCAACGCTGCGTTCCGGTCAGCTCGAAGCGTCATTCTGGTCTTCTCTGTTAGGGAGAGTGGAAAGTTCCAAGGTTTTACACATTCCAGCTTAATCCTGTTCCCGCAGTCCCATCTCTCTCTTCAGTCCTTTAACTTGCACACTGTTCCCATGTTTGTTCTTCAGGTTTTGCACGCCTGGCTTCAGAGTCTCATCATGGTGGCTCTCCCATCCACTGGGTTCTTCCCGCTGGCATGAACGCCAAGATGCTGGGAGGAGTCTTCAAAATTAATTGGCTCTGCAGGTAAACAGTGTGAGCTCTTGGTCTTTGACTTCCAGTGGGAGGGGCTTTGCATCTCTACATCTGTTTGTGTAATAATAATGATAATAACTAGAATTGCAAGCAGTTATCAACAGGTTCCAAGCCAACCAGCTCATGTCCCTCACCCAGCCTCGCTCCTTTCTTCACCATTCCTCACGTGGCCCCGCCCCTCCCAGACGTTCTCTTGCCAAAATCCTGTCAGCTCACTTCAATCGGCATAATGAAATAAACACTCAGGAAAACCTTTTGACCCTTTTGCATCCCCTATATATCAGTCATTCACTGAGTAGAAAGGTATGGCTAACATCTCAATCCCTATTCGAATTTAGCGTGGAGATTTAGTCAGTTAAGTCGTGCTAGCTAGCACAAAGATTTAGGCATAGTGTCATTTGCAAAATGTTTAATAATTCTGTCATTCCTTTTTCACATTTCGTTATCTTTGTCCAAAGATCAAATATTCCAAGTCTAAAATGGATTCCGCATAAAAACGACTTGAGTTGTCACAAAAACCAAGTTTTACATTAGCTGCAATATAGCAACAAATCTAGCTAAGCAAAAATGTGTGCGAACTTGATCGAGCAACGCAAATTCATCCAACATTAACAAAGTTCATTTTATTAATATAGCACTCATCACAGATAGTGAATCACAAAGTGCTTCACATAGATCAAAGCTAAACAAATCATCAATTCGTAAAATCATAATGATCTTAAAACAGAAACGGATTACAATCAGAAGTCATCAAATTATAAAATACCGTAAAACCAATGAAAGATGATTACACATTTGAGTTAGAAAATAAGAAAATTTAAGATTTAGGTAAAAACCGCTTTCAATATATATTTGCTATACTTTTATTAAATTGTCAAAAGAGTATAAAGGTATTGAATGAAATGTAGTATTCCATGGATTATTATAATTAGGGATGATCCGATCACGTGTTTTTGAAAGGATCAGAATCGGGAGAAATAAATCAGATTTAACCTTTTAAAACAACAAACATCGCATTTTAAATTCATCCTGAGAGATTTTCAAATTTAATGAAAATGGCTGTTTTTAATTTCAGTAAGCCCCTCTACATCAATATTTGTTTCTTGTATGAAAACAACACAGTAATGTGATTGTACTTACGTTTGCCCTCTGAGAATGTGGCAGCAGCGTTCTGTACCATTTGCAACCTGGCTATTGAACCCTTGCTCACACCAAAGAAAATCCAACCACACCGTAATAAAGCATGGTGTACCTACTCTGGTCGAAAGAATCCACGCTTCGTACTGATGTCCACAATTCTCTTATTTCTCTCTCACAATCACGGAGCACCGTGAAAACTAGAAACAAGTAAAATAATATCAATAGCACATGATATTCATCTCAGCCACTTATTTCCTTTCACAAAGTGCACAAGTGTTAAACAAAGAACCGTATAATGTTTTTTACCGTGTACGCCTTGTAAACCCAGCAGTAGAAAAGATGTATATTCCAAAAAGTCCGCAGTGTTACCGCTCCGTGTCGTCGCTCCCGCGACTCACAGGAAGCGACTACCTCACAACAATCTCAACAGAAACATTTCTTATAAGAAAGATGTATCACTCCACTGCACAGGTACACAAATATGAGTATCAAATAAAGAAAACAAAACAGACAACGTAACGACCTCAGATGCGCTGCTGGTGTTGTCATGGCAACCAACACAAACATTTCAACGTCAGCTACACATGGACTACCATCTCAAGGTCCTGCTGTGGGTAGGAATGGTCTGACCTTCGATAGCCGACGAAGGTGAAAAAAGTAGGAGATCACTCCATTAATGTGGGTGTCAAAACAAAGGGCACTGTCTAGTTTAACACCAAGATCAGTCACCGAAGCACGACAGTGGGCAGCAGTGGCACAGGTGCTCGCCCCGTAATCAGAAGGTTGCAGGTTCGAGCCCCTCTCAGTCTGTCACTGTGTCCTTGGGCAAGATACTTAACCCCCTTTGCCTGCTGATGGTGGTCGGAGGGACCGGTGGAACCAGTGTTCGGCAGCCTCGCCTCTGTCAGAGCGCCCCAGGGCAGCTGTGGCTACAGTGTAGCTCATCCCCACCACGTGTGAATGGGTGTGTGAATGAGTGAATGACTGGTTGTGTTGTAAAGCACCTTGGGGGGGGTTCCAGGACTCTAGAAGTTGCTATATCAAATACAGGCCATTTACCATTTGTCACTCAGCTGGCCATTGAATGACCCGCAGTCAGTTAGAGAGCAATTTGTATGTCCACAAGGAGCAAACAATACAACCTCTGTCTTCTGATAATTTAAGTACAAAAACATTTCATTCACCCAAGTCTTGATCTCAGTCAAACATTTCATGGGGGGGGGGGGGGGGGGGGGGGGGGTCGGGACCACTTCTGGCAGCCACCAGGCTTGTGAAACACTGGCCTTTATGTGCATATGCTCCTCACAAAACTGGCAGAAATCACCCTAAGACATGGTAATTGTCATTTGAGTTACTGTGATTGGCTAAAGACACAATATGGTAGCCAGTGCAAACCGGGCACTACCATGCACGTCCTCCAATCGGCTCAAAATATTCTACCAGATAGCCCCCCCTCTTTCAGACGGTTTCTGCTGCAGAGACTAAAGATCTAAACGTGTAGCCTCGACACGGGGCGGGGCTACACACAGAGATCTGGCTGCTGCCAGGTTAGTCACAAGCGACCAAAATGAGTTTTCTCCGCTAAGTGTCTGGGCTCTCCCTTAGAGAGGAGGTGAGAAGCTTGGTTATCCGGGAGGAGCTCAGAGCAGATCTGCTGCTCTTCCACATCAAGCGAAGCCAGTTGAAGTGGTTCGAGCACATGGTTAGGATGCCTCCTGTATGTCCAACTGGGAGGAGTTGTCCACCGGGCTGGGTGGCGTCTGTCCAGGTCCCGCTCCAGCAAGGTTTTTTCACACACACTTCTCAGGAACGGGGAAGTGTGTGTGTGTGTGTGTGTGTGTGTGTGTGTGTGTGTGTGTGTGTGTGTGTGTGTGTGCGCAGTGAGGAGAGACAGAGCTGCTGCGGCTTCAGTCAGAGGCACCTTACTTCTCAGTATTCCTGCATGATGAGGAATTGCGCATGCAGGAAGCTCCCGCTGGTTGATTCCACGTGTGTTGGACCTGTTCAGCCCGAAGCAGACCTCTGTGGTATGCGGGCTGAAAAACCTACCGGTTGAGCCACCTAGATGTCAACACTCTGAAAGCTACCCAGTCTCGGCCGTGCTGGCCCAGGCGTGAAAGCGATCCACTCGGGGCTGGATCAAGGAAGGAGCCAGTTCCCATGGAATAAAAAATGCTAATTCACAGCAGAAGTAAACATGTTTACAGCCAGGTTCAAAAGCCAGTTTAGGTTTAGTAGAACTAGTTAACAGTCATGACAACTCATCCGAGCTAACAAAACATTATGCAGAAACATTGAGAACGTAAAAATGGAACCTGTTAGCTGATGGCGGTTCTTGTTTTGTGAATAAAGTTGTGATTTCAGACAACGCAGTCATGAGGTCTAAGATGTGGGTTTGGCAGCGCATCGTGTGTTTGTAAAGCAGCAGCTGATGTAAAACGAGAAGCTGCTGGATGAAACATTTGATCAGACTCATTCCATCGTCTCTGACGTCTGCTGCTGTTTTCTTTACAGGAGGGAACTTCCTTTCATTAAGACGGCCCACTTGTCCAACCCCTGGAACGAGTTCAAGCCTGTTAAAATTGGACGTGACGGTCAGGTGAGTACACAGCCATTATCTGTTATTTCTGACCCTACTCTATAGGGCTTCCACAGTAGCGCCGGCTCTACTCTGCCTATGCGTGGTAGGAAGTGTTCACATCTGCATAGCTTGGATTTTTTTTCGTGCGCAACCGGTCATTTTTTCAGCCCTCTTCCCAAGGTTGTCTGTATCGGGCTGATTGTCCAGCTCAAATTCACGCCTGCCATTAGGGGAAGCCTCAGAATGGTGTTTTGTGTCAGCCAGCGCATGTACAATTTATCATCTTTCTGGTTACTGTGGAGTAAATAACGCCTCTGACTGAGGCCGTCTCATCTTGTCTTCCTCTATCTGAGGAGCACACACAGATTGTGCTGACAGGCTTGAGTTGCCATACACAAGGAAAGACACGGCACTCTGGATGCAATATCTGAGTCAGAATCTCCAAAAGCAACACCGCTCACGCCCCCCTTTGTTTAGTTTAAGAGATGCACCGCAAACTTCTCTGCGTGTTTTGCCTGACAGTGTACAAACCCTACCAGTGTGGGACCTGGAATGTCACAATCCGGACCAGACGTGACCAAATGTGAAAGCGGCACTAGAGTCTACACACTAAACCTAATCATAGACACTTTGATCAGAACAGTTTCCAAACCTATTGACAGTCAAACATTTCAATTCAGTTAATCTATAAGCACTTAATCAAAACAAGTCGTCTCGAGGACCTTCACACAGTACTCCAAAGTGAAAGCACCTCCGGCCTGCTTGGTAATGAAATCATAACTAGGTAAGCTGACCGAGGATTTTGGGCTTCGCCAAATCAGGACAAGAGTCGTCTCAAGGACCTTCACACAGTAAACATTCCAGTACAGGTCAGTTCATCAAGCCAATCAGTAACAAGTTTCCTATATAAGGAACCCAGCAGGTTGCATCGAGTCACTGACTAGTGTCAGTCTTTACAGCAATCCTCATACTAAGCAAGCATGCAGCGACAGTGGAGAGGAGAACTCCCTTTTAACAGGAAGAAACCTCCAGAGGATCTGATGACCCCCTCCCTCCATGAGGCTACCACAGCTCAGCAGAACATCATTGTAGCTTCTTCTGGGGAGAAAAACACTTAATCTTAGCAATATTCTGAAAGTGGAAAAAGGAAATCCTACAAACCTGTTTAACGTGGGATCTGAATGACATGTCCTGGTCAAAGATAACACCAAGGTTCCTTACTTTGTTCTCGGAGACTAATTTAATGCCATTTAGGTCAGGCGATTGGCTAAGCAATTTCCTTTTCTGGATTTCTGGTCCAAAGATGAGAACTTTCGTCTTGTCTTGAGTTAAAAGCAAAAAGTTTAGAGTCATCCAATTTTTTATGTCCTCAAGACAAGCCTGTAATCTACCCAACCGATTAGGTTCATCAGGGTTAATGGATAAATATAACTGAGTATCGTCAGCATAACAGTGGAAATTTATCCCATGCTGTCTAATGATTTTACCAATTGGGAGCATAAATATAGTAAAAAGAATTGGTCCAAGCACTGAACCCTGTGGTACTCCACAAGTAACCCTGGAGTATGAAGAAGATTTGTCATGTACATTTACAAAATGAAATCTATCTGACAGGTAGGATATAAACCAGCCTAGCGCTGTTCCTTTGATCCCTACAACATGTTCAAGTCTTTCTAAAAGAACATAACTCTGAAAGCTCAACTGGACCGAACTGAATATTTTGCTTCATAGCAATCACAGATATCTCCAACCTGGAGGCTCTGCTGATTGGGTTCTGGTTTTGGACTTCCTCTCTGTCACCGATGGTATCTCTGGTTCTGATTGTGGGCCAGGAGACCAGGTTGTTGGTGAAACATCCTAATGAAACAGAACAAGAAGTCTGGTTCACGGTTAGGTCCTGGAATCTTTAGAACCTGCTCTAATGTGTTTTACTTGAATTTTGTTTTGGTCAGGAGATTCAACCAACAGTTGGCGCCCAGCTTTGTGCCCTGTTCCCATTGGATGAGAGTGTGGACGTTCACCAGGTGGCTCGTCGCATTCGTCACAAGCGTCGAACTCCATCGGAACCACGGCCTCGAGGCCGACCGCCGTTACGGGAACCGGGAAGGTTAGCCAATCATCAAGCTCCTTCCCCCGCTTCCTGTTCTTCTCCTGCGGCCACCACGGCACCACCTGCTGCCCCACCACGGAGATGGCTGTTAGCTGGCGGCTTACTTCCTAGCTCCCTGAGGCGGGTTCTCTGGTTGTTGTTGTGGTTCCGGAGCCTCCACTGGAACGCCAACCCGCTCTGCGTCAGGCTGAATGCTTTGAGTCAGGCAGGAAGTAGGAATCCTGTCCAGCTGATTTTAGAGTCATTCAGTCTAAAGTTGGATTATTTTCCGTCTTCTCAGAAAATTAACTTTTAACTTTAGTTTTGTTTTTGTTTTGTGTCCAGACAGAGGAGCAAGTGAACTTTTCTCTTGTTGCTGATAAATTTGTCTTTAAGCTCTTTGTCTCTGCAGGATTTTGGTCCTTCGGCAGTTTTAATGAAAAGTTTGGCAGTAGTTGGGACTGGCTGACCCTTTCAGAATAAAAGCAGAAAGGACGATGATGGGACTGATGGATGGGGGGGTTAAGTGAGGTGCTTAAGAAGGTGGGGCAGGTGAATGTGGTTGGGGGCTTGTCTACCTGTAAGGTGAATTACAGAATAAAGGACTGAGTGAGGACGAGTCCCACCCTCTTTGGAAAGAACCCCCCCTCCCCCCCCCCAGCAGGTGCGCACACACTAAGTTGGACTTTTCTGGTGGAGTTTGTGTGTCGCTGAAGGACTGAACCTCATGGTGTGCGCCATGATGGGGGGGCAACAGGGAAGTGAAAATGGACAGAGCCAAAAAAAAAAAAACAAGATGGTGGTTTCTTGTTCAGGACTTTTGCTGTGGAGAGGGTGGGGCGGGGCTTTGTGTAATAATTCAATGGACTGCACCATCATCACCATCACCCCCAGCCACCCTTTGCAATGCGGTTTATAAAAGGACTGAACTGTTTGTTAGGAAGTGTAACCCCACCCACAACAGCGGTATGTTGCTCCACCCACTGCCTCCTTTTTCTTCTTATGTGTGCGTGCATGTGTGTGCACGTGGGCGCAGCAGCAGCCTAAAGCGGACAGTCGTTACGGCCAGATTCACTTCCACGTGTATTCATTCAAACCAGAGTCCACCAGCAGGACTCAACCAGTGGACCCAGTAAGAAGACGGTAAAGTGATTAGGTCTCTGAAGCAGGATCAGTGTCTGCAGGTAGCGCTAAGTTCTACTGGGTGTATCTCCATGGCAACAGACATCCAGCTTGATACCCGCACTAGACCCGTTTCTCTAGACCAGAACAGTGAGGAAGAGTCGAGAAGATCTTCTGTTTTTAGGTCAGGTTTCCACGTTTTCAGTCGGAGTGTCTCAGTCTGATGAGGACGTCACACCAGGAGACCTGCAGGTTTGTCACACCCTGACTGTTACCATGGAAACACCACTCAGATAAGTTATATGCCAACCCACCCAAGTTCACATGAGGTTCACCTGGAGACTCTAATCCTGCTTCACCTGTAGAAGACCACCTGGAACGTTCATATCTGATTGTGTTGTTTCCTGTGTGTCAAAGTGTGTGAGTGTGTGCGCACACACACTCACCTGTGAACCTCTTTACTTAGGCGTCGACCTGAAGAGTTCGACCTCCATGGCAGGAAACGGCCGCGAGTTGATGGTCCACCTGAATTCAGCCAGCGAGCAGGTGCTTCACCTAGAGGTCTTTTTTATAACGCGCACACACGCACGTTCGCTCGTCTTATTAACTTTAATTCATCAGCAGGGTTTATCCAAGACCTACGGAGCCAACCGGTGGATAGGTGAGCTACACACATCACTTAGGAAGTAGGTGGGGCCTAAAGGCAAAAGGCTGACCTGAAATGACCCTTTGGTTTGACCTCTAGGAGATTCTCCGGCGTCAGGCGTGACGTGCTTCCGAACGGGGTGAGTCTGTTAACTTCATGTAGGCAGCATGCTTTTATGTGACATCACTGACACCTCTTTACCTGTTGACAGTCTTACAACTACTATATGAGGAACTACCACCAGAGCGTCGGACCGGCTGCTCCTTGGCAAACTCTGGTACGATTCATTGGTTCTGATCCCTTCTGATTGATGCTGACTGGTCCTGATCCCTTCTGATTGGTGCTGACTGGTCCTGATCCATTCTAATTGGTGCTGACTGGTCCTGATCCCTTCTGATTGGTGCTGACTGGTCCTGATCCCTTCTGATCGGTGCTGACTGGCCTGGTAGCTAGTAACTGGTCCTGAACCTTCCTGATCCCTGCTGTTCTCAATCCATCCTGACTGGTCCTAACTGGTTCTGATCCATTTTGATTGGTTGTGAACCGTCCTCTTTTGAACGTTTGTTCTGTGTGTAACTTTCTAATCCATGACTTTGTTCCTTTTTTACACCGTTTAGTAAAGAAGTAGTTTTTCACCTGACAGTCTCAGTACTACGTCTGTAGTACTCTCAGTACTATCTTGTTAGCAGTCTCAATATAGCTGACTCACTGGAGAACAGCCAATCTAGACACATTTAGTTTCCACCCTTTATGTCTTTTTGTGTCAACAGGCGGCTTACCCCAATGTGGAGCAACAGCCCCCTCACCACCCCCCTTACTACCACCACAATCATCCTCCACCACCCCCCCACCAAGCCTTCCATCATCACCACCCCACTCTGCCGCCACATGAAGCTCCACCCCCTCGATTCAGAGACAAGCAGCGACCCCCCCAGCACCGCGCCTTCCCCTCTAGCCCGGTGAGTTCTGATGCAAGTTCTGATCTGGTTCTGGCTCACGTAGCCATCTAACTTCCTGTTGCTGTTGTCTTCTTCTCACGCAGCATGACTATGACATGCGAGTCGATGACTTCCTGCGGCGGACTCAGGCTGTGGTAAGCAGCAGGCGAGAGCGGGAACGTCAGCGGGAACGGGAGCGAGGTGGACCTCGCCGTGAGCGTGAACGAGAGCGTGCGAGGGACAGAGACAGGGAGAGAGAGAGAGACAAGGAGAGGGGGCGGTACCGCAGGTGATCAGTTGCTTTTATTTTGACAGTTTGCAGGCTCTGTAACTGGTTTCCTGTTTGTGAACAAAATAAAAGTTCATTGACGCCATTAGTTGCCATGTTAATAGTGATTTATTATTTTTTTTTATATATAAAGTTTGTTTGCTTACAGCCTTAACTGAAAGGCATTTTGTAAATTCACTTCATTTTCCAGATTGTTCTCTGTCAGTCTTTCAGTATTGTATCCTGGTGGTTCACAACACGAGGGCCATGGAGACAGTCTGATGTCACATGATGCAGAAAAACAATCATGTTAGTTTTATTGTGAAAGTTGTGAAATCCCTCAGATTAAAAGTTTTTAACGTTAATCATTTGTTTTGTCATTCAATTTCTTTTAAATTTTTATAAAGCACCTTCTAGAGTCCTGGGACCCCCGAAGGTCCTTTACAGCACAGTCATTCACCCATTCACACCCTGGTGGTGATTGAAGTTAAAGTCCCATTAGCCGTTTTCACAAAGCAACGCCGCTGCGGCATCAGGGAGCCTCAAGTCGTTTGTAAGCGGTCAGATTGAGGCAGTAATCTGGTGCAACATGTCCTTTTTATAAAGGATTGCACGATAGCAGCATAAGGGGTTATGGGGCGGTCTCTGCGCTGCTGCAGACTTCTGTTTATCTTGGACATAACTTGCTTTCATTGCAATCGAAGCTGCGCCCATTAAGCTTTTTTTAAGAAGCCGCTGCTAAAGGCGTCCGGCCTCCACAGTCCCCGATGATCTGAGCTCCAGCTCAAATGGAGAGAAGCTCATGGAGCGCTATCTCAGCTGGTTTTGTATAAAAGCAAAACTCAGGGTGTGTTTACTTTCATTTTTAACAAAAGTTTCCGGCTGGAACTCGGCATTAACTCTCCGCGTCGTCATGACACCTCCCTCTGTTGCGCCATGGCGTGATCGTCTTTTATAAAGCAGACCGTTACCACAATATTACTATCAAGCGGCGGGAACGAATGCCGCAAAATTAGTGCAACGTCATGCCGGCATGGCACGTTTATATGACACCATTGCGGTAATAATGTGCCGGCACGGTGTGTCTTGTAAAAAGGGCAGTGAATTCATCACACACCGGTGAAATTCATCTCCACATCTGACCCATCCCCTTGCCGAGCACTGAGACGCAGCTGTGGCAGCGCTCTGGAACTATTTGGTGGTTTAACCGTCCAATCCAACCCCTTACAGCTGAGTGTCAATCATGCGGGCATTGGGTCCCATTTTTAAGGTCATTGGTATGACCAGGCCTGGATTTAAACCCCGATCTCCCAGTGCAGACACTACCACTTGGCCACAAGGTAGGTGAGATGATTTTTTTCTATTACTGGCTTATTTTCTCAGTCCTGTAGTGATACAATGTCCGCCCTGGGACTGGGAGGTCAGGGTTCAAGTCCCGGTTGGGTCATACCAAAGACTTAAAGACCCAATGCCTCCTTCAGCACTAAGGAGTTGGATTGGGGGGTTAAACCATATACATGAACACATAGATGCCCCGTTGGGCCCTGGAAAGCATAAGACGTGTTGCAAGTGGTCACAATTCAATTCAGTTCAAGTATATTTCTACGACCTTACTGCCTCTGCTTTGTTGTCCATTCTCATCCTTGATCTGAGCGGCATTTGACACCCTTTCCCACAGCACCCCCATCAGCAGACTTTCATCTGTAGGTGTCACTCACACGCCTCTTGCTTGGTTCACTTCCGGTCTCTCTGACCACACAGTTTGTTCAACTGAAGTCTTCCAAATCCAATAGGCTTCCTGTCTCCGCTGGTGTGCCCCAGGGTTCTGTCCTGGGGGCCCTTCAATTCAGTTTATTTATACAGCGCCAAATCAGGACAAGAGTCGTCTCAAGGCACTTCACATAATAAACATTCCAATCCAGGTCAGTTCATTAAGCCAATCAGAAAAAAATGTTTGCTATATAAGGAACCCAGCAAATTGCATCAAGTCACTGACTAGTGCAATCCTCATGCTAAGCAAGCATTTAGCGACAGTGGAGCGGAAAACTCCCTTTTAACGAAGAAACCTCCAGAGGATCCTGGCTCAGTATAAGCAGCCATCTACCACGACTCACTTGGGATGGAGAAGACAGAGCACACATACACACACACAACATTTATACCAAGTAGTGTGTCTGGTTACATCAAGGCCGGATTAACCATACGGGCAACTGGGCAATTGCCCAGGGCCAGGGCAGCAAGGGCATGAGCAAAATACTGAATCTGTTATCTCCCGCTTTATATTAAACTAGTGTGACCATACATCCTCTTTTCCCCGGACACAGCTGTGAGCTGTTTAGCCACAACCTTTTCCAAGATCTTGGAGATGAACGGAAGTTTACAGATGGGTCTGAAGCTGCTATGGAGAGAGGGGTCAAGGCTCGTTTTTTTAAGAAGCGGGTGGATTACAACGTTCTTAAAGTAAGCAGGGACCTGACCAGAAACCAGAGAAGCATTAATTATAGAGAGCACGCTGGGACCGATGGACTGAAAAGCACTTTTAAACAAAGATGAGGGTAAGATGTGGAGGGGGCATGCAGAGGTCTTCATAGAGTTAACTAGTTTGGTTAACTCAGGCAAAGAAACAGGAGCAAAGCTATCTAGGATGATGGGCCTGGTTGGAGTCGGGAGAGGCAGCGATAAGGCTGAAGGGGAGATGCTAGATCTAACCTTATTGACTTTGTCCACAAAGAAAGACAGAAAGTTTTCACAGTCTGTAACAGAGTGGATGGAGGCTGTAGGAGAGACGATGCTGCTGATGGTGTTAAACAGCACCTTGGGGTTTCCTTTACTCTGGGACACCAGGTTGGAGAAATAGGAAACCCTGGCGTCTCTGACTGCAGAGTTAAAGGATGTCAGAAGACCCTTTAGGTGCAGCAGATGGACGTGGAGATGGGTTTTCTTCCACAACTTCCTTTTTATTTAACCTGGATTTATCCAGATGAGTGGACAGAGAACTCGTCCTCATTTACAAGGAGGATCTGGCCAAGAGGCAGCAGACACAAAGTTAGCTTTACATCAGAGAACAACAGGTAAGATAAAACATACAAGATAAAGTCAGATAAAACTGTCAGACATGAAGACTAAGGACTGTTCTCATATAGAATATGTACAAGCAACCAGAACAGACTTTTCAAGATTAGTAGTCAACTTAGGGCTGCAACAAACGATTATTTGGATAATCGATGAATCGGATGGGGTCTCGACACGATTAATCGGATTACATGGGGAAATTTTTAAAAACTGCTAGGGAAACGTTATTTCTCTCCTTCCTTCACTTTATTTAACACAACATTATTAGAAAACAGTTCAATAGCAGAAAAACAACATGCCATCACCTAAATTGTCTTATAAGGTGTATAGACAGAGACCCTAAGCTACATCTATCTGTGACCTAAAATGCTTGGTCCAATTAAACAGCTTAAGGGCAATTCTCATCTGTTTTGTTTGATCTCATCTGTAGACATTTATTATAACTGGGGATGTCAAACAACTAATTTTTAAATGTAATTAAACATAGGCTGTGAATTAATCAAAATTGATCACTATTTCCAAAAATGACTGAAAAAATAAGTTGTCACACACTCCATGGAAACTTTCAGAGAATCCACAAATAGTGGCTTTCAAATGGTTTTGTTACTTTCTGCAAGTTTAGAAAAGAAGCAGATGAGACAGCATGTCTGATAATTTAGTTTTTCATCTGATAATATTAGAACATGTCAGTAATGCCTGAGGGGATTTTATAAACACTGTATAACTAACACTACTGGAGAGGGTATGAATTACACAGAGGCTTCTGGGGAGCCCAGTTATGGGGGGGGGGGGGGGGGGGCATTTTGCCTTGGCCCCCAAAATGTCTTGAAACGGCCCTGGGTGTGTGACTGAGTGTTGAAGGTGACCTGAATAGTATCAAATTTATAAATATTACATGTGTGTAACTTATTGTTTTATAGGTAAAAACGTGTCGTGGAGATAAATCTATCTACATTTTACTTTTCAACACTTTGTTTTGTTTTGTTGTTTTTATTGAACTATTTTCCTGTCCTGTCTGTCTCTCATCTTCCTGCATCTCCTCTAAACTCTCCAGAAAAACTGCTGCCTGGATTCTTACTTTCTCACCTCATCAGTTACTTCTGAGCAGATCAAAGGGATCTGACCGCAAAGCGCAGAGCGCGTTTTCGATGCTGCGTGAGGTGAAATCACCGCAGCACAAGTGATGAGCTCCGCAGCAGAGCGCTGCAGGCACAAATAAGACAGAAAATAGAGAACATGTGCAGACTACATGAACGATCGTGTGCTAATTATAGTTTTTTGGTTGCGCCACTTTGAGAATGGACCGTGCGCTGGAAGCAGCTGCCTGGATCGCTGCGCAACAACGCGCTGTGCCGCTCTCTGCTCAAAAGAGTCCAAAAATGATATAATATAGAAAACTTTTTTCCGGCTCCCCGGATGTGTAGGATATACAGCTCCCCCATAATTCGATCCCTGCTCCTGGATGAAAAGCCGGACATTTTCATCAATACAAGAACCCGCAGTCCGGACGCGCCGGACAGAGAGTGAAAAGTGGACACGTCCGGGGAAAACGGAACGTACGGTCACCATAATCCTCATAATGCGGAAAATTATAGATACAGTATTTTGCTCGTGCCCTGGGCCCTTTAGAGTTCGTGGGCCCTGGCCAATTGCCCAGTTAATCCGGCCTTGGGCGGAACCGGTTCGCAGCAGCGCGAGTCCCCCCGCTCATCTAATAAGCGTCGCGCTCACGACTTTAGACTCTTTTTTTACGAGCTTAGGGCATGTCTAGCCTGTGTAATAATCCGGGACTTGGATGAATCACTTTTGAAAAGTTTTTAATTTACCCGGACACAGAGTTCTCTCCTTCCTCGCTGATGATCCCGACATGCTTGCGTTTAAGACGCTGCATCATCCCGTGCCATGCTAAGTCTGACCTAAACGTTGCAGGTAACGCATGTCTCCTGCTCTCCCTCGCGCTGATCTGTCTGCGCGCAACGGCGGGCGGGAAGGGGCGCGCTTTTGGAAGAGTTGTGCGACACAACGAATCGATGACGCAATTCGTTGCCAACGCTTTTAGTAATCGATTTTCATCGAATTGATCGATTCGTTGTTGCAGCCCTAAGTCAACTAAAGTTCAAGGTCAAGGTAACTTTATTAATACCTACAAGTAACTTTGAATTGCCATGTGACACGAAAATTAGCGAGTTCAGAGAGTTGAAATAACCGAACACGTGTTGACGTGAGGCCTTCTCCTGGAGCTATATATGTATATTTATATATATATATATATATATATATATATATATATATATATATATATGTATGTATATAGATATATTTACATATATACGAATATATGTAAATATATATATATATATATATATATATATATATATATGTATATATGTATGTATATATATATATTTACATTCAATTCAGGTTTATTTATAAAGCACCAAATCAGGACCAGAGTCGTCTCAAGGACCTTCACACAGTAAACATTCCAACACAGGTCAGGTCATTAAGCCAATCAGTAAAAGGTTTCCTATATAAGGAACCCAGCAGGTTGCATCGAGTCACTGAATAGTGTCAAGAGTCTTTACAGCAATCCTCATACTAAGCAAGCATGCAGCGACAGTGGAGAGGAAAACTTCCTTTTAACAGGAAGAAACCTCCAGAGGATCCTGACTCTAGAGCCCTGCACAGGCCTAAAATCTGAGCCCATGTCCGGCCCGGCCCGAGGGGATGGAGCCCCAGCCCGACCCGGTCCAAAAAGGTTTTCAGGATTCTCTGGTCCGACCCGAGCCCGGCTTTTTTTTAACCAACTAAATGAAAACAAAGCGCGTCAATCCTGACCAATGTGTTAAAAGACGTGCAGGATCCGATCAATTTGTTTTTCCCTCATTTACCGTCACGGAGATAACGGCGCACTGGCTCTGGTGGTAATCAAGTTAAATTTTATCTCTTTCCAACAATTTTCACAAGAAAACAAAACAGTCAAAAGCAGGGCTTGTGTTGTGTTGACCGGATAGTTCCCGTGTTTGACCGTTTATTTTGACGGAGAAAGAATAGAAAGAATTACCCCGACGCATGCAGACGAACTGACATTTTATTCTACGCACATCGCAGATGTAGCTAAATCACCCAAGAAAAGATTCCCATCTGAACATCTGAGCTGGACACTGCTCAGCGCAGCTCGCTGTCAGCGTGTACTACATAAGGTGCACAGCGAGCTGAAGTTGTGGAGAGTGGCTTGGAGTGCGTTGCAGAACCAGAGCGCATGCGGTAAGATTCCTCCCACTGAAACGAGTGTTTTCCAAACCCTGTCACTCAGAGGGACTTGTCACTTAGAAAATGTTCCCTGATTATGAAACTTTGGCTGAATAGCGCTTGTTCCTGTCTCCAATGTGGCGACGCATCCAGGAGCCGTCTGAGGAGAAGCCCAGAATCTCACATCTTCAGCTCAGACAGCGCCGATATGATTACGCACAAGCGTGACCCGTCAACCTGGTCTCACAGTAAGACCGGGTTGGACCTGTTCAGGTTTATGCAGACAATCTTTACATTTAGAATTGACTTACAGATATAAAATTAATTCAGCTAAATATAAAGCATTTTATTAAAATATCCATTCATTATTTTACAAGCACAGAGAGCCGCATCAGATGGATGGAAGAGCCGCGGGTTGCCAACCCCTGGTATAGCCTATAAAATGACATGTTTTCTCCAGGACCAGAGAGGACGCAAACTCAATACATCCCTTTTATTGTGAGGTAATAATTTCTCCGAGTTTTGCGGTTGAAGGCGGGAGTAGACATGTACGCTGCAGGTGCGGGCGGTAATAGTCAGAAATTCAGCGGGAGCGGGCAGGAGCGGGATGAAGAAAACAGTCGCGCAAGGCTCTACTGCTGCGTTTAAGTGTTTCAATTTTTTTAATGAATTCGATTAAAAATAAAGGCGCCCGGCCCGTGTATGAGGTAATTACACAGTCGTTGGCCCTCGGGCCGGGCCGACCTGAGGGCCTAGGGCTTCAGTGCAGGGCTCTACCTGGCTCAGAATAAGCAGCCATCCACCACGACTCACTGGGGATGGAGAAGACAGAGCGCTCACACACACACACACACACACACACACACACACACACACACACACACACACACACACACACACACACACAAAGTAGTGTTTTTATGGTTACAATGTGATTTCTTAGTAAATATTCTATTTAGTGAGAGATAAACTTTAATGTATTTATCCTAGTGAATCTATAATTAAACGGGTAAACTAGTAGTAGCACATTCTATGTGTTCAATTTGTACTCATCTTTAGACATTCTAACTACGTAATGTGCTAAGTGTGTTTGTAAAAATACACAGGGAATGTATATTGAGTTTTAGGGGCTTTACCAGTAAAACTGACTACTTTATATTAAAAACAGCGTGCCGGAAACAATGACGATGATTCCAGCGACTTCCGTTTGTTCCACGTCAGTACTGAAAACGAGCCCATCGCCAGCCCTGGATCGGTGCGGAACCGGAACCGTGTGAACAGGGAAACAACATGGCGGACGACGCCACGCGCAGGACCGTGTCAAATATTCCTTTACTGAAGACGCACGCGGGGCCACGGGATCGCGCGCTGTGGCCGCAGCGGCTGAAGGAGGAGTACCAGGCGCTGATCCGGTTCGTGGAGCAGAACAAGGCTGCCGATAACGACTGGTTCCGACTAGAGTCCAACGCGGACGGCACGCGCTGGTCCGGGACTTGCTGGTTCGTCCACGAGCTGCTGCGATACGAGTTCCGGGTGGAGTTCGACATCCCGGTCACATATCCGGACACCGCGCCTGAGGTGGCGGTCCCGGAGCTGGACGGGAAGACCGCCAAGATGTTCCGCGGAGGGAAAATCTGCCTCACTGAACATTTCGCACCGCTGTGGGCGCGCAACGTACCTCGCTTCGGACTCGCGCACCTGATGGCGCTGGGCCTCGCGCCGTGGCTCGCGGTGGAGATCCCGGACCTGATCAGCAAAGGGCTCGTGATCCATAAGGAGCGGCCTCGCGGATCCGTGGAATGACGTCAGAAGCAGGACTTCAGGCCAGAGAGACCAGATGTCTCCAGCTTTAGGTTCTCGATGGACCCGGATGTTGGAGCTCATCGTTTTAGTCATTAGATTTAAGAACAAATAAAGTTTGAAGAGAAAAGAACGCCTTGTTTATGTTGGCAAGCCATTTGGTTATTTAACAGCATGTTAATAAATTATCATTTGTCTGATGAAGATGTTGGAGTTACAGCTGCAGAAGAAGTAGAACGTCTCCCGGTGTTGGAGAACGTTAGGGATGTGTGAGGAACTCAGGTTAATGGCTGCCACTTATTTTTGCATTAAGAAAAGTCTCCAAACTGCGAAGGTTGGTGTCAGAACTTGAACTGAAATGGTTCTCCATGCCTTAATTACTGTAACACACTCTTCACATGTTTCAACAAAAGCAGCTGCTTCTGCAGTCCCACAGGCCGACAGGACTCTTTCTGAAGCTCGACAGCATCAATAACCATCACTGTCCACCAACGGGTTTGGGGGTTGCCACCATGACAGGCACCACCGACAACTCTGCGGCTGCAGCTCCGGTCAGCCGCCTCAAAACTAGAAGCACAGAACACGGCCCACTCAGACTCGATGTTCCCCGCTTTCCTCGGGGAGGAAAATCCCTCCCTTCTGACAGGAGACTCCGCCAGACGTTCCCAGCAGACCCTCACAATACGTTTGGGCCTGCCGGGTCTGACCGGCTTCCTCCCCACCATTGAAGCCAATCACCGCCAGGCAGTGGTCAGTTGGCAGCTCCGCCTCTCTCTTCATGACATGCATGTGATCAAAAACATTGAATCTCAACTCTGAGGCTGCTCTGTAAATCGTTTTCAAAGAAACAAAACATAAAGCAACTTCTGATCAATCCACTTCAGACTTAAAACAATGTACCGATTGAAGCCCCACCCACTTCCGGTTAAAGCACACCCAGTTCCTGTTTCGGCCCCGCCCACCCCGAGTACAGCTACAGATATTTGTGTACCTGCTCATCCCTACTGTTCACCACCAAATTCCATCATTTCTCCACATGTGGCCCAAGCGAGAAAGTCTTCAGATCTGCTGTTATGATTGAATTCAGAAGGTCAACCTGACCTGATGAGTAGATAAAACGCAGTTCGACTCTTACTGAACCTCAAAGTGTAGAAAACAAAAACAATTAGTATGTTTTAGCACCTGGCTGGAGCTGCAGACACGTGCATGAACACACTCATTGTTTTATCTTCTGTTAAAGATAACTTGAACATACCAGAGCGAACGGTACTGGTTGCTGTCACCTGTTGTGATTGGTTAAAGCAGCTCGCCGGGCCCCGCCCTGTGACTGCTGCAGCTGCTGTGGGAAACGGGTAATGGCTCTTTGATGGGAAAAGGTTGCCGACCCCTGAATTAGGCCAACCACGGTGGTGCATGGGCTTTTTCAAGCTGCGTCAGTTTTGACCCAGAGGCTGCTGCTGCGCGGATCCAGATGCACTTGATCCAGTAACGTTGGTGACACGGAGCTAGGTCGGGTTTCAGGAGCTGAAGAACAGGAAAACATCCTCAGTGAATAATTCTGGTGACAGTAAGGGCGTATCTGCGCTAATTAAAAATAATAATAATACATTAAAACGTATATAGCGCTTTTTAGGACAGTCGTGCTGTCACATTCACACACTGCTAGTGATGGTAAGCTACATTGTAGCCACAGCTGCCCTGGGGCGGTCTGACAGAGGCGAGGCTGCCGTTTGGTGCCGTCGGCCCCTCTGACCACCACCAACACAGGCAAGTTGGGTGGAGTGTCTTGCCCAAGGACACAACAGCAGAAAACTCCTGGAGGGAGCTGGAATCGAACCCATCACCCTCTGACCATGAGGCAACCCGCTCTACCACCTGAGCTCCTGCTGCCCCAAGTTGCTCGTTAACACGGATTACCTTAAATGCCGCTCTTTTAAACACGATAAACACACAGACTAACAAACGCGGACATCTCTGGTGATTCAGTTTGAACAAATTTCCATCTGCAGCCGTTTCTCCCATTAAAAACACTCGAGCCCGACCCGCTGATCAACCAGAGGCAGAGAGAAAGAATAAACCTCCAACATCTTTATTAATGTGGACAGAAACCACAGCAATGCGTCATTTTACCTGCAGTTATCCTGACTGAGGCACACTTCCCAAATGAAAAACATGAAAAGTGATTAAATGAATCAGAAAAGTAGGAAGAAATCTTATTTCTGTTTTTACATTTTTCACTTTATTTCAAATTAGAATTTTGCCGTCGTCTTCCCCCACTTATCCGGGTCGCAGGGGCAGCATCCTAACTAGGGAGCTCCAGACCGTCCTCTCCCCAGCCACCTCCACCAGCAGGACCCCAAGGTGTTCCTGGACCAGATTGGAGATGTAACCTCTCCAACGTGTCCTGGGTCGACCCGGGGGCCTCCTGCCGGCAGGACATGCCCGAAACACCTCCCCAGGGAGGCGTCCTGACCAGATGCCCAAACCACCTCAACTGGCTCCTTTCGATCCGGAGGAGCAGCGGTTCTACTCCGAGTCCCTCCCGAATGTCCGAGCTCCTCACCCTATCTCTAAGGCTGAGCCCGGCCACCCTACGGAGGAAACTCATTTCGGCCGCTTGTATCCGCCATCTCGTTCTTTCGGTCATTACCCAAAGCTCAGGACCATAGGTGAGGATTGAGACGTAGGATTGGGATCGACCGGTAAATCAAGAGCCTGGCTTTCTGGCTCAGCTCCCTCTTCACCACGACAGATCGGCTCAGCGTCCGCATCACTGCAGATGCCGAACCAATCCGCCTGTCGATCTCCCGATCCCTCCTACCCTCACTCGTGAACAAGACCCCGCCCGAGATACTTAAACCCCTCCACTTGAGGTAGGACCTCTCCCCCGACCCGGAGTTAGAATTTTGTGTTTTCATCATATGTAGCATGAATTAAATTTAAATATTCATCTTTATTCATTTTAGGACTTTAGTGTTGCTTTGTGTGGAAAATGAATCATAACACAACATGAATAGTTTATTTTTAAATACGTTCTGAGGGTTACATGTTCAATAGTTTTTATAAATATTTGTTCTGCTGGATTTCGTCTGGTTTGTGAGAATGTAAAACCAGTCATTCTGACATAAATAAACAGATGAAAAGAATATATTGATACAGACTTTAGGAAATTTGCCCATTCCTACCCAAATGAATAATAAACCAGCTTCTATCAAGGTCCTGCATGGTTTCCACGTCTCTGCTTCAGCCCACCTGGTTTACACACCTGCATTGCCTTCTCAGGATGACATCAAGTGCTGCAGAAACATGTTAATCACTCATTCTTTTAGATCAGATGTGTGGCAGCAGGGAAACATCTAAAACATGTAGGACAGGGGAGCTGAAGACCAGGTTTAAGAAACCAACAGTATCAGAATCAGAAAGAATTTTATTGCCAGCGCTCCAGCGAACCAGAGCATAGGAACTTGACTCCACAGAACAGCCTGATCAAGGTTAGACACACACACATATGGACAAAACAGATACAGGCAGACCACGAGAGCAGCCATAACGGAAAATATGAAGGAAAACCAGAGCAGGGCTGCAGCTGCTACTGAGAGGAGCTGAAGCCTCGACCACACCGAATGCAGAATGGATACGATCCAGTTTCACATGGACCAGAGTCCAATCAGAACATTTACACCAGCTCTGGTGCGGATCCAGATGCAGCGCTCCAGAAAATTTCCACATGGAGTCTATCTTCTGCTGTTAAAGTTAAACAATTCACCTGAGAAGTTAGACATGGTTCAGCGTTAAGGAGATTTAATTATTTCATTTAATAATCAGTTGTACGCTCTACTTTTGGGCAATCGTCAACACGTTTGACGAAGGAAGTAGTCGTGGTACGAGGACACGGCTCAGGGGTCCAAGAGTCAGAACCACTGGTCTACAGAACCACCAGGTGTTCCACCGACAAACACTTTCAAAAGATAAGATTTTATTTGAAATGTTTTAGCTTACACAAGCTTTTGCATTGTTGCCCCACTTCCTCTCAGTACACTTGAATAAGCTCCGCCCATTCTTTTGAAGGCCACATCCCATTTTCTATCACATTTCTTGGGGATGTCTTCCAGTCCCAACTCCTCACTGGGACATTCCAGAAGACACCATAGTTTGCCATCACATAATCGAGTGTCTCACAAGGAACACGAACTTTGACCTCCAGAAGCTCCGCCCAGCATAGCGTGAAGGGAGCGAAAACATACCTGGAAAAAAAAAATCAACTGTAATATTTAAACAGGGCAGGGGACATTTTACACAATACACACTGGTGCAAGACCACATCTGCAGGGGTCAGAAAAGGCTCTGGCACTCCTGTTTCAGAAGGTAGAGGTGAGTCGGAGCAAAGGTTCACTTCCAACACCAGGATTTAGTCCTACTTCCTGATATCTGACATCTCTCCTCTGATTGGCTAACAACAACACCACTCCACCACTGACTGTCTGCTCTGCAACGTTGATGTTTTATCTCCACAAATAACACAAGCCTGGAGAAATTCTGCCCTGTGGTGTAGTAGCTAATGCTAACAGTTAGCTTCTACTAGCAGAGACGTACTCTGCTGTTTCCTGGACTAAACCAACAACAGCTTCCCCATCATGAGTCCAGATGGGTGAGTCCATGAATGTTAGTGACAGTGTGACGTAGATCTGTCAGGATTTTCTAATCCTAGAGTTTTACGGTCTGTTTTCTATCAGAAGCTACTGCAGGAGATAGGTGTAGGAGACTATTCTGGGTAAAATCTGGGGCAGCAGAGATTGTGTCCAATCTCCTTTAGGCATAAAATAAATGATACTGGCATGAGTGTAAATAATAATATCCCTTTAGACTGTCTGTAAACCTAAAAACTAAAACTATAAAGCATGTTAAAACCAAGATGGCTGCTGAAAATAACGCAGCGGTAAGAGACTTCCTTACTTGAACTTCCTGCCGCTCTTTGCTTGCGTCCCTCCGTTCCACATGACCCCTTCATGCTTGTAGAAGAAGAAAATGTCCAGTTTGACATCATCACTAAGAAAGGACAGCTCCAGACTGTCCTCCACCTGCATCCCAAAATAACACGGATTAGATTAACCTCCTTACAGTGAACACATTATTGTTACAACCAAGGGTTGTAAGTTGTTTTGTTGTAAGATGCTTTGTATGTTCATGATGTTTCTTAGTGCAGATGCCCACACCTAATTGGTGAACCAGTGGCCTGGAGAGAGTCCTGATTGGTATAACTGATGGGAGCAGACCTTTAAGAGGGATGTTAACACCACCTGCAGTTGATCCTCATTCTCTGCTCATCCCAACCTGCCACCATCCACTTAGTGTCCTGTGTTGAGTGCTGTGTAAAGACGTGTTGTTAAACTTGAGGAAAGTATGGGTGAACCTGCTATTTAATTTCTCCATTCAGTTTTCTCCTGTGTTTATAATCAGGGAGGTAAGTTTGGTTGTATTTCTTTTTATTTTAATTTGTAGGTAAGATGATTATTTAAGTTAGGGGTCTTTTGTTTGTTGTTTTGGCCTTTGGTTCACCCTGAGTTATATTTATCCTCCCTCGCTTTTAATTAATAAAGAACTTATAAATAAAAATTGTCATCGTCTTCCTCTGCTTATCCGGGTCCGGGTCGTGGGGGCAGCATCCCAACTAAGGAGCTCCAGACCGTCCTCTCCCCAGCCACCTCCACCAGCTCCTCTGGCAGGACCCCAAGGCCTTCCCAGACCAGATTGGAGATGTAACATCTCCAAGGTGTCCTGGGTCGACCCGGGGGCCTCCTGCCGGCAGGACATGCCCAAAACACCTCCCCGGGGAGGCGTCCAGGAGACATCCTGACCAGATGCCCAAACCACCTCAACTGACTCCTTTCGATCCGGAGGAGCAGCGGTTCTACTCTGAGTCCCTCCCCAATGTCCGAGCTCCTCACCCTATCTCTAAGGCTGAGCCCGGCCACCCTACGGAGGAAACTCATTTCGGCCGCTTGTATCCGCGATCTCGTTCTTTCGGTCATTACCCAAAGCTCATGATCATAGGTGAGGATTGGGACGTAGATCGACCGGTAAATCAAGAGCCTGGCTTTCTGGATCAGCCCCCTCTTCAACACGACAGATCAGCTCAGCGTCCGCATCACTGCAGATGCTGAACCAATCCGCCTGTCGATCTACCCTCACTCGTGAACAAGACCCAGAGATACTTAAACTCCTCCACTTGAGGTAGGACCTCTCTCCCGCCCCGGAGTTGGCAAGCCACCCTTTTCCGGTTGAGAACCATGGTCTCAGATTTGGAGGTGCTGATCCTCATCCCAGCCGCTTCACATTCGGCCGCCAACCTACCCAGCAAGAACTGAAGGTCAAGAGCTGGATGAAACTAGGAGGACCACATCATCCGCAAAAAGCAGAAACGAGATTCTCCTGCCACCAAACTCGACACACTCCACACCACGGCTGCGCCTAGAAATTCTGTCCATAAAGGTAATGAACAGAACCGGTGACAAAGGGCAGCCCTGGCGGAGTCCAACCCTCACCGGGAACAGGTCCGACTTACTACCAGCTATGCGGACCAAACTCACGCTCCTCTGGTAAAGGGACTGAATGGGCCTTAACAGAAAGCCACCCACCCCATATTCCTGGAGCGTCCCCCACAGGGGGCCCCTGGCGACACGGTCATAAGCCTTCTCCAAATCCACAAAACACATGTGGATTGGTTGGGCAAACTCCCATGCCCCCCCTCCATCACCTTTGCAAGGGTATAGAGCTGGTCCACAGTTCCACGGCCAGGACGAAAACCACATTGCTCCTCCTCAATCTGAGATTCAACTATCGATCGGACCCTCCTCTCCAGTACCTTGGAGTAGACCTTTCCAGGGAGGCTAAGGAGTGTGATCCCCCTATAGTTGGAACACACCCTCAGGTCACCCTTATTAAAGATGGGGACCACCACCCCGGTCTGCCACTCCACAGGAACTGCCCCCGATGACCACGCATTGTTGCAGAGACGTGTCAACCATGACATCCCTACAACATCCATAGCCTTGAGATACCCAGGACGAATCTCATCTGCCCCCGGGGCTCCACCGCTGTGTAGTTGTTTGACTACCTCAGCAACTTCTGCACCCGAGGTTGGACAGTCCATCCCCAGGTCTCCCGGCTCTGGTTCCTCCCCGGAATGCGCGTAAGTGGGATTGAGGAGCTCCTCAAAGTATTCCTTCCACTGTCCGACTATAGTCCCAGTTGACGTCAGTTGACCCCATTCGCATACCTACTCGCTCACAGTGAGTTGCTGCCTCCCTCTCCTGAGGCGCCGGACAGTTTGCCAGAACCTCTTTGGAGCCGATTGATAGTCTTTCCCCATGGCCTCACCAAACTCCTCCCATGCCCGAGATTTTGCCTCGGTAACTGCCACTGCTGCACCCCACTTGGCTATCCGGTACCTGTCTGCTGCCTCCGGAGACCCACAGACCAGCCACGCCCTGTAGGCCTCCTTCTTCAGCCTGATGGCTCCCCGAACCTCTGGTGTCCACCAGCGGGTACGGGGGTTGCCACCACTACTGGCACCGGCCACCTTGCAACCACACCGAGTAACAGCCGCCTCAACAATCGCAGAGTGGAACAAGGCCCACTCGGAGTCAATGTCCCCCACTGCTCTCAGGACGCGGTCAAAGCTCTGCCGGAGGTGGGAGTTGAAGACCGTCTAGATAGATTCTTCTGTCAGGCGTTCCCAGCATACCCTCACTATGTGTTTGGGTCTGCCAGGTCTACGCGGCATCTTCCCCTGCCATCTGATCCAACTCACCACCAGGTGGTGATCAGTTGACAGCTCCGCTCCTCTCTTCACTCGGGTGTCCAAAACATACGGCCGCAGGTCAGATGATACGACTACAAAGTCTATCATCGACCTGCGACCTAGGCTGCCCTGGTACCAAGTGTACCGATGGGCATCCTTATGTTCGAACATGGTGTTCGTTATGGCCAAACTGCGGCTTGCACAGAAGTCCAATAACGAAACACCACTCGAGTTCAGATCAGGCGGGCCGTTCCTCCCAATTACACCCCTCCAGGTCAAGCTGTCATTGCCCACGTGAGCATTGAAGTCCCCCAGCAGGACAATGGAGTCCCCTGATGGAGCACTATCTAGCACTTGTCCCAGGGACTCCAAAAAAGGTGGGTACTCTGAACTGATATTTGGCCCATAAGCACAAACAACAGTCAGGACCCGTTCCCCGACCCGAAGGTGCAGGGAAGCTACCCTCTCGTCCCCCGGGGTAAACCCCAACACACAGGCAGAGAGTCTTGAGTCTAACAAAAAGCCAACCCCAGCCCTCCGCCTCTCACCCGGAGCAACTCCGGCAAAGGAGAGTGTCCAACCCCTCTCAAGGACGTGGGTTCCAGAGACAATACTATGTGTCGAGGTGAGTCCGACTATATCTAGCTGGTACCGCTCAACCTCTGCCACAAGCTCCTGCTCCTTCCCCACCAGTGAGATGATGTTCCACGTCCCAAAAACCAGTCACTGTAGATAAGTCAAACTGTGGTGTGGTACTTGGGATCTGTGGCAAAATGGGAATCCACCTTCATGTTGTGGCCTGGCCTCTTCTAGACAGGTTGTAACATTATTCACTCACTCACTTATACTCAGAGGTAGAATACCACCACACATTCATAGGGGGGCATGGCCGCTGAACTGTCTTGCTGCTATTTAACTGGAGGATGACCTGCTTTACAACCCCTTAAATAAAACATCCCCTGAAAATGAACCAGAATGAGGAACAGATGAGACCTTTCCAAACTTATGTTTGAGCGACAGGCCGGCATCTCTGAATGCAGCCACGATATCAGGCCGGAAGTCTGAGATGAAGATGCCGATGTCCACATCTTGACTGTACGAGATTATGTTGCACTGGCGAAACCATCCTGCAGGGGGTGAGAGACATCCAGACAAAGGAAGGACTTCATTTAGTCTGAACCAGTATAATACATTTTAAAATGTACGTCTCAGATGTTTGTCAAGAAGTGCAGAGACCAAACATGTCAGTTTTAAATAGTACTAAAAATCACCAGAGGTGCTGCTGAGCACGATGTGCTGCCGATCTGGGAGCGCCCTGTACGAGCCTCAAAAACTAAACAAAGAACCGCGGTGAGGTTAGGTGGGTGTTCGACGTTTACTAGTGGTTCACTACGGTCAGTGATGAGCTTTGACGCCGTGGACTTCACCAGAGAAAGGTGGAGACCAGCTGTGTTCCCAGGACCAGCTCATGAAAACTATTTCTAGTTATTTGAGAACGCATAAAAACATCTACCGCTTCCAGCTTCATTGATTAAAAATTTATCCTGAGCTCTGTTACTAAACTAGACCAACGCGACACCACAGTTTTAACAGTTCAACCCTAACCCTCCGCTGCAGCAGAGGGCATCAGGTACTGATAAAGACAGAAGGTACCAGAGAATATGAGCGGACATGAACGATCATGTGTTACCTACGTGGTTTGAGAAAGTTACTGTGGTCAGGACACAGCGGATGAAAAATCAGGACTCTGCCGTTTTCTGCCTCTCTGCTCAAAAGAAGTCCCAGTGCACCGGGACTTTGTATAAATAATGTAATTTAGGTAGGAACAGGATATTTTTGATACTCCCTTTTGGAGTGTAAGTTGGGGGCTTCTAGGGGAGCCCGTCGGCCTTTCAGGGGAACCGGGCTCCCCTTAGCTCTCCCGTAATTTGAACCCTGGATCAGGAGGTAACGAACATCAAACCATGTGATCAGATCTGGACATCCCTAATCTAATAAAATTTATTTGTTTATCTAAAAGAACAAAGCTTGATTCTTTATTACACAGATTTACAAATACATGAACAAAGATAATCAGCCATGCTGGAGGTTATGTGGCCAAACAAATTCGTAAAAACATTCCACCTGTTTGTAAGGTGGTACAGACACCAACAGGTAAAGGACCCGGCTGTTACTCGTGGAGCAGCGGCTAAAGTCTGACTGCTGCTGGGAAACGGTTGTAACGAAAACCCGGCTCGAGGTAGAACCTCGCACACCAACAGAATGGGAGGAAGTTATGAAAGAAACAAAGACCGACAGCACATCTGCCATTTACCTGCTGCATGTTAATAAAAAGAGCACATTACCCAGACAGGTGCCGCTGCTGATCCAGAACGGAACGTGGAGCACAGCGAGAGTCTGAGCCGCCACGGAAAGCAGCAACTTCGCTTTCCTCCGAAAATCATGAGCTGCAGCTGACGAGTCATCAGGGTAGAGCTGCATTAACACATACGGACAAGGTCACATGACTAACGTTTAACTGCTTTTGCTTTAAAGCTAAGTAAACAAGAACCTGCAGAAAACGGCGTGCATCCTGGTGACGGCACTCCAGGAAGCGAGCGTGTTGATGCTGCATCAGGAAGTTGGAGATGTTTTGAGGGAGTTGAACATCCAGACCATCAACTACGGTGAGTATGAGCTCTAGCCTGGAGAAAATCACACACACAGAGACATTCACTCATTCATCCCCTCCCAGATGCTACAATCACATGACCCCACACACTCGGCCTGATCCAACCTGTCGTACGCGCCAGCGTGCTGCCCATAATCCAGAAGTTGGAAGGGTGCAAACTTTTGGTCCATGTTGGCATTAAGTCGCACAGCTCCATGCCACAGGTAGTTCCCACTGCGTTCGTACAGGAGCACCACCTGCACAAAGATACAGATGCACTGAAAAGCTACAACCTTGGAGAACACGAGTCATCCAAGGAAGAAAATGAGTGAAGCTGAGGCCCTGCGGAGTGGTTACTGTCATGTTTAAAGCAAGAAAACCTCTAAATTTCCAATTCTCGCGCTGCTCTGGGTGGCTGCTTGTTGGAGTGGCTATGTTAACTACATGTAAGTTTGCCTTTTTTGGACATTTTTTCTTCTAGCTTCTTAAGAATAACTATTTTTTTGGACCTTTTACTTTTCTGTTTCTGGTGCTGTGAAGTGTAGAGGATTTTTACTGCTATTTTTTTTTTTTTTTTTCACATTTTGAGCATGTGATATGATGCGTAACCATGGCAACAAGCTGATTTACAATCGGGAGCAGCTGACTAACATTGGAAAGGCTGAACTTTTACCTCAACTGAAGCCAAAAATCCCAAATGAGCTAAAACAAATGAAGCATAGATGCAGAGCTGGAGCAAAATGGAGACAGAGAAAGGGGAAATTCAAACCATCTCTATCATCAATCATAATGGGCAATGTGAGATCACTGGCCAATAAGATAGATGAACTCCAAGCCCTTTCAGGGCCTCAGCCAGAGTATTGGCAGTGCAGTGTTAAGTGTTTCACTGAGACGTGGCTGCAGGACCATATCCCCGATTCCAGCATCTCCCTGCCAGGATTCCTGACTGAACGAGCAGACAAAGATCTGAAGAGGAGCGGGAAAAGAAAAGGAGGTGGAGTGGCAGTGCTTGTCAATGTAATGATCAACGCTACATCAACAACAGATGGTGCCATCCATGCCATGTTTCAGTGAAATGTCGTCTCTGCAGCCCAGATGTTGAACTCTTGGCGGTAAGTTGTCGCTAAGCTACAAACCCAGCACCCCAATGCATTTGTGGCTATATCTGGTGATTTTAATCATGCCTCGCTCTCTGCTACACTTCCAACATTTCAACAGTTTGTCAGCTGCTCCACCAGTGAAATCAAGACATTGGATTTGTGTTATGCAAATGTAAAGAATGTAGGGCTGCACAATATATCAAAAAATTATTGTCATCGCGATAACAGGACATGCGATAGGCCCATCACAAAGCAAGTCAAAAACGGCGATAAATGTTTGGTTCAAACATTTCCATCCGTGTCATACATCAACTTTTTGTAAACCAGCTCTGTTTTTTACGCGGAAGTATTATTTGACCAATCAAATGTAGCCCTTCTGATATGCGGCCAATCAGATGGGTCCGTTCACGTAATACGCCCGCCCCCTATGTAGACAGGATGGGTGGAACGCAACACCCGAACCGAGTTAACGGCACCGTTTCCTTGTTCGTCATGCTGGCTCAGAGCAATGAACGCACTTTGTGCTGAGGTTTCTGGAATCAGCGCTGCTTTCAAACATGAACGTGAGTCCGCTCGGTGTCATTAAGCAGCTGATAATAACCGGGCTGACTCCGACAAGTGCCGGTGAACCAACCCACCTTCATGTCGCTAGTGTTCCACCGGGTGGTGATGTTAGCCCCAGGCTCCGGTTAGCTTCCAGCTAAAAGGCTACAGCACTCTCCTCCCAGTCCCACCCTGCTAAAGAGGGCCTGGAAAAGTTCCCCCACACATCAAAGTGATTTTTCATTTATGAGCTTTTATAACCTTGTTAATCAGGATAGTTGATTGGCTGGTGCACGTAAACTGTCAGTCAGAAGCTCTGCTTGCCGGTTATCTTAAGAGGAGCTAGTTCAATTTGTTAGCTTGTTATCAGAATCATAGTTGCAGTTTCATCATCTGAGCTGCTTTTTAAGATCTAGGTAAACTTGTTCAATTTGGGGTTAAAAACAAACGTTTTCACATATTTTCCATGTAGTTTTTTTGCCAGTTCCTCTTCTGAAAGGTAGACAATTGTTTTTCTCTTTCCCTCAGAAAATCTTAATATTCTCCTAGCTTGGCCCAGCACAGTTCACTTCCCAATTACAGCAACAGCCTTATATCATAACCACATAAGTGGAGAAAATGTTCAGTAGCAATGAGAGAATTTGCTGTTGCATTTAAGTGATGATAACTATTATTTAACATTTAAACTTATTTTCTGATTTTTTTTATTTATTCCAAAAACCCTGGTAAGGGATGTTTTTCTGTATTTGGAGCATCAGAAAGTTTTATGGTGGAGGTGATGTTTTAAAGTCAATGAGAAACTGCATGCATGCAGTTTGTTGTTTTGCTGCTAATACAGTAGCAGGTGCAGCTGCATATTTTTTCAATAAAAATGTTATGTTGTTCATGCATTAGTTTATTTTTCTTTGAACCCAGAGCAGAAGTCACACGCCAGACAACATCAACACTGCATACTTTAGTATTTGTTCATTTATCGTGAGTAATATCAATATCGCAATATTAAGCACTGTTATCGTATATCGCAGGTTTTCCTAATATCGTGCAGCCCTAAAAGAATGCATACATGTCCAAAACAAGACCTCCTATGGGACAATCAGATCACAATCTTGTTTTTCTCTGCCCAGAACACAAACCACTTGTTCAGAGGCAACCCGTGACAAGAAGAACTGTGAGAAAATGGTCACAGGACGCTGAAGAAGCCCTGCAGGGTTGTTTTGAGAACACAGATTGGATGACTCTCTGCCAAGGATATGAAGAGGACATCAATGCCATGACTGGATTTGTCACTGACTATATAAACTTCTGTGTGGACAACATCATACCCACCAGAACAGTGAGATGCTTCGCTAATAACAAACTCTGGATCACCAGTGAACTGAAGAATCTGCTAAATGAGAAAAAAAGAGCCTTCAAGGAGGGAGACAGGGAATTATTGAGGAGTATACAGAAGCAACTGAAGATCAAGATCAGAGACAGCAAAGAGGCATACAGGAAGAAGCTGGAGAACAAACTACAGAGGAACAATATCAGAGATGTCTGGTCAGGGATGAAGAAGATCACAGGCTTCAAGCAGAGGAAGCATTGCACAGATGGCAGCCTGGACACAGCCAATGAACTGAACAAGTTCTTCAATAGGTTCAGTTCAGGAACAAACCCAGCATCCTCCTTGCCTGTCCCCAGCCAATCAGACATCCCATCCTCCTCTAATCCAACATTTTCCTGTCACACGCCAGCTCTGTTGCCCTCTAACGCAGTCATGGACTCTTCTGGTTCTATAAATCTGTCTTCAACCAAGTCAGGAGATGCTGCTGCCCCATTTACCTCCCCCTCCCACCTATCTGTCTCTAGAGATCAGGTGAAGAGGCAGCTGGAGAGACTGAACAGGAACAAGGCTGCAGGTCAAGATGGTGTCAGCCCCAGAGTACTGAAGGCCTGTGCAGAGCAGCTCTGTGGGATTCTGCAGCACCTCTTCAATCTCAGGTTGACTTGATAACTTTTTAACTCATAGCAGCACAATGTGTGTTGAAGGCAGAGAGCCTCGTAAGGTCTCAACGGGTCCAAAAATTCAACTCGAACCAAAATGACCCGACAGACTTGAACCCCGAACCCCTTCCGGATGCAGAGCTCCCAAGCCTCAAGCATGGATGTAGTTTTGGGGGGATGGGAGGGACATGTCCCCTCCACTTTTGTCCCCTTTAGTTTTTACCGTCCAAAAAAAAAAAACCATTACGCTGTCATTAACAGGCAATGGTTGAGCACTAGGACCAAGCAGAAAACAACCGCTTGTATTGAAGCCTGTTAGTTTTCATTGTCGTCTCTTATTTGTCGACAAAAGTGACAATTTGGGAGACTTTAAAAAGCTGTTAAAAACAAACACTTTCTCCTTGGCTTTTAGAGGTTGTCTTTGTTCCTTGTATTGACATTGTTCTTCTTATCGCTTGACTTTTATCCTTGCTTTTATGATAATGTTTTATTGCTATTTTATTGTCCTGATCTGACTGACCGGTTTTATTTTTGCTGTACAGCACTTTGATGCAGCTCTGTTGTTTTGTAAAGGGCTTTATAAACAAATTTGACATTGACAATCAATATTTGTCATAATTTAATCTTTATAGAAGTACAAATTTAAGTTTTTGTTTTGTTTTGCAAAATTTCATTCATCAAGAAAAAAAAAGGAAAATATTTCGTCAATGAAATTAACGGGGGAGGCCGCTGCTGGCTGATTCTACCCACAAATCAGAGGCTCCCTCTGTAGGTAGGCGGGAACTTCAAGCCAGCCAATAGTTAGCAGAGGATGTGTTGGGTCATCTCCACACTAAGCTGACCGCCAATGAGCAGGTCTGCAAAAAAACAAGTCCGCTAAGCATGACAAATGCATGGATTACACAGATGAACACAGTTAACCTGCCAGGGCCAACCCACATGTGTACCATTAGGACCTCCCCAGGGGTAGGTGGACCAAGGAGCTGGAGAGAGGGAAAGTCTAGGTGTGGCGGCCTAGTCTGCTGCCCCAAGTAAGCAGAGGAAAATGGATGAGTGGATCATTCTGGAGTCCCTGACTGAGAAATGCTCTATATTAAATACAGGTCACTGATCCTTTATCATGGATCTATTCAATGTTTTATAGATGAGGTCCCAGCTCATTATAGAAGAAAAAGGGAACGCTGTAAACTGGTTGTTTCTAAGTGGTTACCACGTATGCTAAAACTGTTGCTTAGCATTAGCAATGTTCTGCATGTGTAATAATGATTTTCAGCACTACCCACATGGATGGTGTAACCATGGAGACGAAACAGAAAGTGCAGGGGAATCTCCCTCCCGGACAGGGTGTCCAGACTGGCCAATCGCGGGTCCTCTCCTTGCAGCTCGAGCAACTCAAAGCCTCTTTGCTGGGCAGCCAATAGGAAGCCAGGCTGATGAACAGACACAAAACAATGTTTACTTTGGAACTCCTGTTGTTTCTGTGGACCTGAATTCATCACTCACATCATACTTCCACAGGTTGGCATACAGAGCAAATGATGTAACTGGCTGGCCAGTGCACAGGAAGATGCATTGTGGATCATGAGGCATCTGGTTATGCTGCTGCAATGCATCTTGGGAGAGCAGCGTCAGTGCCCTGATGTCAGCAAGGAAAAGCGGCAGCCTGAAGTGCTGCGCCAATGACAGGAACTTCTTTAGCAACTGCTGCAGAAACAAAACAGTTTGGTTACCAGGGCAACAACAGAGCAGCTCACTTTGGTTTGTTCCTGTCACTGAAATGTCGAACAGATCGGTAGGGTAAGGTCTGGTTCTGACGGACCACATGGGACAGAAACACCTGGTCTCAGATTTAAAGGACCATTTCAACCATAATCTCAGATAAGGGTGTTCAGAAAGTTTGGATCAGAGCATATTCCAACTTACCCATTGGACATCGCTGGAGGTCACATGACCTGCTGGGTTCAGGATGTGAAAACCAGTCTGCTACAGACAAAACAGACAGAACTTCACTCACTTAGGTGGCAGTCTGGGATTTTTCTCTGGATCATTCATTTCTACATTGTTTGAAATGCTCTTCACATACTGATGGCAACAGATTCGTGTGTGTGTGTGTGTGTGTGTGTGTGCGTGTGTGTGTGTGCTGCAGTTAAACTCTGAAAAGACTGAATGTCTGATCATTGCCCTGAGAGCATGGTTCTCCTGATTAGTCTAAAACTTGTTGGCAAAAGGAGATCTGAGGCACTCAGGAGATACAAAAATAAAAAGCCTTTATTAGTACATGGCTCAAATAGTTAAAAACATAGATGCCGACGTGTTTCAGCCCACAGGGCCTTCGTCAGGGCTCAAAAAGCAAAGTTAGCCCCGCTTTGTTAAAAAAAATCCGGACTTCTGAACGGCTCTTTCAGCTAAATGCCTTTCGAATGAACATCTCCCGTTAAAGAGCCATTCATCTCACAAATAGACAGTGAACATTGCGTCATCAACTGCAACTTCCCAAATAGGGATGCTGGTCACTGTTTGTGCTACATCACTGCTTGCTTTTAGTACCCCTAGTGTCTCCTCGCTGTGTGTTTTAAAGACCTTAATCTAACAGCTGAAATGTCTCCCCAGCCTTTATTAGTGTCTACATAAGTGATTCATCACTAAATTAAAAAAAAATCAACTTTGTTCATGATCTGAAACATGCTGGAGGCAGACAGCAGCGCCAGGTATGTCAGCTCCAACAGACTGGACCAGCATTCTGATTCTGATGTGGGGAGTGAGTGACATTTCATATTAGGGGCTGCATGACTTAACTTTTTCTATAGTCCACCGTCAAGTAATGAAAATCGAGTCGACTTCGACTAGTCGTTGACGTCATACACCTGAAGCAGCTAAAACTGACAATGGGTGACCAAGCGTTTTTTTCCAACGCATGGGGGATTTTCAGGGGGGCCTTGGTTTGCTGGAGTTTTTGACAATTAAAATTGCGCCCACATTTTCTAAGTTAAACATCTCTTTTGACAACGGTAGTTTCTGCATCCTGCTTCAGCCCTCTCCCCCCTCCCCCTGCACAGTGGCTGCAAACTCACTGATGCGCCTGCAGCCTCTCACGTGTTCCTGCTGCTCTAAAAATTAAAATAAATATTTCATTTTCTGTTCCTCACTTCTGATTACCTTCAATGGTGTCTGTCTGTTGCAACCACCAGGTACAAAAACTAACTTGTTTTTATTTGACTATTTTTCTGTCCTGCCTGTTTATTATCTTCCTGCATCTCCTCTCAATCCTAAAGAGAAACTGCTACCTGGGTTCATATATATTCACCTCATGAGTTACCTTTGAACTGCAGTTCTAAAAGAGCTACCGACCGCAAAAACAGCGGAGTGTATACTGCACGCCGGCCGCACCGGTGAGGTGCGTCACCGGAGGACAAAACAGGTGATGCGCTCTGCTCCACAGCAGCGAAACGCATCAGGCACAAATGAAAGACAGAAAACATAGAAGGAAATGAGCCGACATGAAGGATCACGTGTTAAATTAGTTTTTGAGGTGGTGACACCTGATTTGATAACGTTACTGTGGCCGTGCTCAGGACGCAGATGTCTGGAGCGCGTCAACAATCAGAGCTTTGCATGTGCAAGCTGGCTAAGGTTAGGATGGGGGTGAGGGGAAGGTTAAATTGCAAGAGGGTAAAGGTCACAATTTGGTTAAATGTCTGTTTTACGGCGGGCGTCAGATACCGACGCTCTGGCACAGCGCGACACCTCCCATCACGCAGGGGCTCGTCACCTGCTGTCTTTTCCGAGGACTGCATCTTGATGGTCATTATCACGTGACAGCGACTAGTCGATGACAGGCATAAAAAGTCACTACGGAGCTGAGCAAGTCTGTTCCATTTAACCGTTTTCTTTGACCACGGAAGGACAGTGTCCTCGTAAGCAAAGCGCCTTGACATTGAGAAAAACCCACTATCTTGAACCGGACAATGACAGGATACCACAGAACAGCGCTACGCCCTCTGTTGTTCTGGCGGGGAATTGCTTTGCAACACTCCCCAGGAAACGGAGAAATACGAGGGCAAATTGTCTCCACCGCGTGTCTCTCCATTGTAGAGCTGACGGAGAAGTATAAATTAGGCTCAAGGCGGATGCTTTACCACTTGAATCATCTCTTTGACATGTGTAGGTTGTCGCCCAGTGGAGTTACATCTGATTCACAGCATGCTCTATGTTGGACTGCATTTAATAAATTGCCAGATGAACATAACCCCAAATAACTGTAGCCACAAATGTATCTGAATGGATTCTACAGCAACACTTTTTGGTCGTGGACATGACGCTGCCATCAGACCAATATTTGCTGGGGTGCTTAATGTTGAACTACATGTAACTAATTGTCAAAATAACAATAATGCATGTAAATGTAGACATGTACAAAAATATATGAAGGGAGTGCCGTGGACACCACGTTACTTCGGACAAATATTTACTGTATGCTATATGTAACTAATTGTCAAAACAACAATAGTACATGTAAATATAGACATGTACAAATATATCTGAAGGGAATTTTCTGTTACGTATGTTTTAACTAACTTAAGACATTGGAGCGCGACCATTTTCGGCCGTGGACCCCACGCTGCTGTTGTTTGCTGGGTTGGGATATGGCCTGAGGGGCATCTTACCTTACTGACGTACTTCCGGTAGTAGTGTAGCTGGAAGAGCAGAAACGCGCAACTGCCAACGAGCAGCAGCAACAATACGAAGTTCCGGTTCACGCGAGGCATCCGGTTTCGTTATGCTCATGACGTCAGAATCTGCAACCTGCAATACGCTCAAATAAGACGTTTAGAATGTGTAGAGCGGCGGGAGAAATGCCGATCCGTTCGTCGCCATCTTTCAAATCCAGGCTGTCAGCGCTGCCCTTTTCCGGTTCACCCTTCACAATAAAAGTCCAGTCAATTTAAGAAACTTTGCGGTAAAATTGAAGCGTCCATGATTTCCAGATATCTATAATTATATTTCCTGGTAAGAATTAACATCCCAGATATCCGTAATAACATTCCTACTATCCACAATAAACATTTCAGGTATCAGGAATTCTTCCTAGGACAAATGACGTCACATTTCCTGTTTATGTGTATTGGGTTAGGGTTTGGCGCCTCCTATAGTGGATAGGAGACAGGTGTTGATTACAATTTCTGGCTCTCAATAGGGATAGGAGAAATGAAACAAAGGACATCAACAATATCAAAGTAGAAAGCATGAAGTTATTTGTTTCTGGGGAGATTGTAGTTCTGCCTATCTAAATTTTACATTGTACTAGAATAAATGCATGTTTGGGTGTCCAAAATGAAACTACAGACATCAGGAATAGAGTTTTAATTTGACCGATCTAAAATAAGAGTTTTACTAGTAACAGCTGAATTAGAGCTGTCTGAAATGAGAGTTTCTCCTGTCCAGTGTTCATTCTTGACAGGCAGAATTTTGGATAGGAGGCGCAAGAACCCCAGTACACACGAATGGGAAACGTGATGTAATTTGCCGTGGGAAGAATTACATATCAGATATCTGTAATGTTAATTCTGGGTAGTAGCTGAGGCGTGGACTCGAGTCACATGACTTGGACTCGACTCGGACTTGAATGCCAATGACTTGCGACTTGAATCGACTTGCGTCTGTTGACTTGATGACTTGAGCATATTTGATATTTTAGCACAAAAGTGGCACGACATGGACATAAATCATAAATCGTTCTTCGTTCTGGGTTTGATCTTGTACTGCTAAAAGCAGCAGCACTTTGTTTACAATCAGTTTCAGTTGCACTTCCTGCTGTTTGAGCAAATAAACGAAGCTTTAAGAAGCTTTATTTCTGGAATTTATTTATTATCTTTGTCATTCAATTTAAGTTGGACAGATGACTTGATCTTTGACTTGACTTGCACTTCCACATCAATGTCACTGGACTCAACTTGGACGTGGTTGTCTTTGATTTAATTAGAGATCCACTAGGATAAATACAATAAAGTTTATCTCACCAAATAGAATATTTACTTAGACATCACAATAGAACTGTAGACACATTATTGTGTGTGTGTGTGTGTGTGTGTGTGTGTGTGTGTGTGTGTGTGTGTGTGTGTGTGTGTGTGTGTGTGTGTGTGTGTGTGTGTGTGTGTGTGTGTGTGTGTGTGTGTGTGTGTGTGTGTGTGTGTGTGTGCTCTGTCTTCTCCATCCCCAGTGAGTCGTGGAGGATGGCTGCTTATACTGAGCCAGGATTCTCTGGAGGTTTCTTCCTGTTAAAAGGGAGTTTTCCTCTCCACTGTCGCTGCATGCTTGCTTAGTATGAGGATTGCTGTATAGTCACTGACACTAGTCAGTGACTTGATGCAATTTGTTTATAAACAAATGTGAGATCTTACCCTTAAATGATTGTACTATTTCTAACACTTTTAATATTCCTGTTAAATCCAATGTCAAATATTTGGGTGTGTATATAACCAAGAATAAGAATGATTTAGATAACCTTAATATTTGGGAGAAAATTCAAACCTGTAGAACTCATTTAAATAACTGGGCTCAGAGAGACTTATTGATTCTAGGTAGAATTTTTCTTACCAAAATGGAAAGTATCTCCAGGCTAGTATACCCTGCATATGCAATAGGAGTGTCTAAATCAGCAATCAAAGCTATCAACCAGCTAAACTTTGATTTTATATGGAAACGCAAAACCCACTATATTAGGCAAGGTAATTTAGTCAAACGTTTTGAAGATGGAGGTTTGCAAGCTAGTGAATTTGACAGCTTAAACAGCACCTTAAAAATAAATTGGCTTAGGTCTTTTTTAAGAAGTCAAAATAGCCTTTGGTTTCACATTCCAAGCAAAATATTCTCAGATCTAGGTGGATTTAATCTCTTACTTAGATGTGACTTTGACATAAAAAAAAACTCCCCCTAAAGCTCTCTTCCTTCCACCCGCAAGTTTTATTATACTGGAAATTAATATACAAACATAACTATAGCCCACACAACACTCCCCTATGGAACTGTCATTACATAACAGTTGGAAACAAATGAATCTTTATGGGAAAATGGTACGATAAGGGCATCTGGTCAGTGATGCACTTGTTAAATGATAGAGGTAAAATTTTATTAGAAGATTTTACCGCCAATTATGATCTGCAAATAAATAACAAAGAATTTCAAAAAATTACTAAGGCTATCCCTCTAAACATATAATCTTTTTTAAAACCCTGACTATAGATCCCCTGATCTCCCTGAACTGTTGGTAAATGGGCATAACATAACAGCTAACAGTCTAAAAAACTCCCAAATTAGGGAATTATTTACTAATGTTTTTTTCCCTTATATATCCAATCCAAATTCCATCTCACATCTGTTCTCTGGTGATCAATAGAAAGAGATCAGAAAAATTACCTAAAACTTCCCATTCCTCCCAAAGCGAAGGAGGTCCACTACAAAATCCTCTCTGGTGTTTACCCTTCCAAAGAATTTCTCAGACGTCGCTTCGCTATTGATGATGATTGTTGTTCTTTTTGTAATGGGGATATTGAATCAACAGAACATTTATTTTATGACTGTATATTCTGTAAAGCCCTGTGGAACGATGTGCACTACTGGCTCTTTCCTAAGATCCCAAACTTACCTGAATTTTCTAAAAACGATATTATGTTTGGTTCTCTAAGAAAAGAAGCTTGAAGATGTTTTAAATGTAATAATTATTATGGGCAAATTCTTCATTCACAAATGTTGTTTTCTGAAAACAAAGCCGTCGTTTTTTACTTTTCACAAAGAACTCTGCCTCCTTTTCTCATCTGTTAAATTTATGGACAAAAAACAAGCTCTGGATTTGAATCATATGATTGTTGAACTAGATCTGTTAGAAAGCCCCTAAGGTATAACTTTTTTTATGTTTTCTTTAATTATCTGTCTTTTTGTTCATTTGTTTGCTTATTTGTTCTGTTTGGGGTTTGTTTTTATTTTATTTATTTATTTGTTATTGTTTGTACTTCCTGTTCATTATCCTTCTTCTATATGTTGGAATTCAGCCTGTTCTGATACTATCTCACGTTGGTAAAACTCATTCTTTGTAGAGACTGCCATAATTGTTGTACATTATATTTTGTGCAAATAATAATAAAAAAAAGTTGTTTTCCTGTTAGCTTGCCAGTGTTGCTCAATTGAGTTCATTTTTATCTATGTTCGGGTACAAACCATTTTTGAAGGCTGAACACAAATAAATAAAGGCCCTGTTTATCTCTACCTCCGCCTTGGTTCCTTGTTGTGACCAGGCCCGCCTGGGGATCTGGTTGTGGGTGTCTAAGCCTTGCGCTCGGTCACAAGTGGCGTTGTTGGCAGGATCCATCGAGTACTGTCAAGTAGGTCCATGGATGTGAAGTTAGTAGCACCCTGCGCGGGAGCACGAGGACGTGCTTGTGGAAAGAGGGGGGAAGATGTGGCAGTGTGAGCGTCCTGTCACAGTGTCCCGACTGATCATGCGCCCTGGCTACTTGGCCAAGGGGGTGTCCCTTTTGTTGACTGGTCAGCGCGTATGACTCTCACCTGGGAGACTGGGGATCGAATCCCGTCCGGGCCCTCGTTTATCCACCTTGCCACAACAATTAAGAAGTAAGGACTTGTAGGCTACCAACAGGGCAGCCACATCGGTGACTACGTCACCATCACAAGCCGAGTGTTGAAACTGAATTAGGCAGGTGCATAAATTTGGGCACCACAAAAAATAAATTAACTCAGTATTTAGTTGATCCATCTTTTGCAGAAATAACAGCCTCTAAATACTTCCTTTAGCTTCCAGTGAGAGTCTGGATTCTGGTTGAAGGTATTTGGGACCATTCGTCTTTACGAAACATCTAGTTGATTCAGGTTTGATGGCTTTAGCATACCTCAAGCTGCTGTTAGTGCTGTGGGTGGAGAAATGGTTTCCTCTGCATCACTCTCTCATACAGCATCTCCTTGTGTACAGTGCACTGAATAGTTGAACGATGCGCCGTGACTCCATCTGCAGCAAGATTATGTTGGTCTTGGTGCTGGTCTGTGCGTTGACTCTGATAGTTCTCACCATTCTTAGCTTCTGTTGAACCCTAACCCACTTCCTCAGTATGTTCCTAATTGTGGAATCAGACAGCTTAAGTCTCTGAGACAGCTTTCTGTATCCTTCCTCTAAACCATGATGGTGAACAATCTTTGTCTTCAGCTCATGTGAGTTGTTTTAAACCCCCCATTTTGCTGCTCTTCAGAGGGAAACCTAAAATTAGCCCCCTTAGATACTCTCTCATAACTGCATTCACATGTGTATGGAGGTCAAGGGTCACTGAGCTTACCAAACCAATTCCGAGTTCCAGTAATTAGGTCTAAAGGTTTTGGAATCAATAAAATCACAAGAGTGCTCACACGTATACACCTGCCTATCACACGTATACACCTGCTTATCACACGTATACACCTGTCTAATTCTGTTTATTGCACACTATAAATCATAATCCTGTAAACTTTGTTTCACTTCTCAAACATCACTATGTGAGTTTTCCATGTCAGATATTTAACTGAAACGTTTTATTGTAACAACCAACAATTTATACAGTAAAATCATGAAGATTAACAAACTTTTGCATCCTGTATGTCTGTGACTGAGCTGTTTGTCATTTACCTTATTTCATTTGTTTTTAATTGGCTTATCCTAATATTTCTGAATATTTTAATATGTCATTTGTTATCTTTTAGGGTCGGTCCTATAAAAAAGTATCCTTACTGCTACATATTGATTCAATGTTATTTGCTAACAGCAGATTAATGCTTTCATATCTATACTCTGTACAAGAGTGAGTAACCAAATGTGTGTTAACAAACAGCATTAAATCATATGTTCTATATCTTTCTTATTATCCAATTTCCCCAGTTTGATTTCACTAAATCCTCCTCAGACCTGATGGTGACTGTTTGATGTCTGAAGCAGGTCTGTTTGTTCGTGTTGATGATCCAGAGTTGGTCATAGCGCTCCTCAGGGCTCGGTCTAATGCCACCAACATTTTAGGTTTTTGCTTTACATCATGTTGTGGTGAACAAATGGGTCAAGACTCAACTTCACATTACATTTATTTTGTTAAACACGATTCCAGCATTTGTCACATAAAAATTTTCTTCAGACGCAAAACATTTATAAAACGACCAAATGCCACCTGATGCAGTCAACACACCTGGTGACAGTTTGCTGTGGTCACTTTAACCTCTGCAGATCAGTTCATAATATTAACTTGGTTTACATGACAGAAGATAATTACCTTAATAAAGAGTGTATTCAGACAGGATGAGTGTTTGAGAAAATAAGGTCAAAAGAAAACAGCTGAGTCTCAGATTAAAAAAGCTCCAGAATCAAGTAAAACTAATCTAATTCAAGTTGAATAGGCATTTGGTTTAAAAATGGCTCCTTTCTTTCTGAGAGGAAACTGAGGATTACACGTTGATCTAGAAAGCAACTTTCAACAATCAGTTCTCTGACTTAGTGTTCTTTCTTGGGTTTACTATAACATTTTGGGGGCTCCTCCGGGATCAAACACTGCTTACTTCATTAAACATGGCCAATCAGAAGCACACTGAGCAGAGCTGAAGCCTAGTTAAAATATCTACATCATTTAAAACAGAAATAAATCCAGCTACTCAGTCCCTGAATTCTCATTGGTCCAGAATGTAAACTCTGCCTACCTCACAGTAAATACATCAAAATCAGAAAAATCCAACCAACGTCTTCTAAAGGATCTTTAATTGGAATAAACAAGACACTACGGCATTCCTGTCTCCATGATGACAACAGGATATTTGGTTGGTCAGAGTAAGGCAGTGGGCGGCTTTAAGGCCGATGGTGAAAGTAAAGCAAGTAGCACTTACTTGATGACCACATGTGAGTGCCCTGACTCATACATTAACAAAAAAATAAGTAATCAGAGAAACGTCTTATGATTGTGTAATTTATATTTTCTGCAATATAAAGTGAAATTTTCTCAGAACACAAAAATGTTTGTTTTAAATTAAAAAAGTAAACAAGAAACAAACTTTTTGTAAGGAAGATCATTTCCTGTTTACTAAATGTAAACTTAATCATTACTTTAACCACTTTGTGAATAAAAGCACAGACCAAGGCTGTTTTCTGATTGGTGGTTCCGCTCACAAGCCATTACTGATGCTATTTAACACATTCTAAGGATTTAATGGCACTAAAAAGATCAGACGTCCTGAGGTGATTAGATATCTGATTGACTGGCTTTTCCATTTGCAGGAGTTTAAATTTACAGTAAAAAATGTGAAAACATTTGATAACCTTCTTCAAGGGTTAGTCACTACAGGATTAATTGATCTACAGTCTGGTGCGCTGTAGCAACAACTGTCAGCATGTCGTTAACAGAGCTAATATTGATGCTAACTAGAGTAAAACTAGTGACAATGCTCTGTGATGTCAACAACCACTGCCTTCCGCCAGCTGAACAGGAAGTAGCCCATTCCAGCACCAGCCGCCACAGCGATGCACAGGTAACCATTGTAAGTCATAAAGATGAGCATCAGGAAGTAGCTGACAACCACCTGGATAATGTGGAGCGCAGTCTGCAGGAAGTGGGACGGACTTAACATCCGTTGCCTGTGGAAAAACGTGACAAATACCAAGTGTTAGCATTTAACATGTTGACCAAGACAAACCTTAAATGTTCCATTACTAGCAGGTCAGTTGAGCAGCGTCGGGCAAGCTGTGGGGCGTTTCTGTTTGAGCTACAAAAACACCTTAGGGTTACTGTCGCAGTTCACCAACCAATCAGAATGGGAATCAAAATAAGTAATTTCCGCGGCTGGACGTGTGTCAAAATAAGTCTGCACAATATGGCCATAATGCAGGAATCACGCTGTGAGAACTCCAGAAACGCGCCACACTAAGGCGCAAGATTTCAGTGAAACACGCCTGGTTCACATCAGCTCAAAGCGCCGCGAAACGGATCGCTCACTCCTACTGTTTCACAACCCCCCCTCGCCAACTCCATGTGCCCTTGCTCCGTGTGTGTGTATGCGTGTGTGTGTGTGTGTGTGTGTGTGTGTGTGTATATATATATATATATATATATATATATATATATATGTGTGTGTGTGTGTGTATATATATATATATATATATATATATATATATGTGTGTGTGTGTGTGTATGCATGTATATGTGTGTGTGTGTGTGTGTTATCAATTTGCCCTACTTGTTATCAGAAACTGCACTGATCCTGCTGCTGTTTTGTAGGCCAGTTCCTTTCTAAATAGATAAGTAAATAACTAGTGTTTGTGATAGAGTACAATGCTGTTGCACAGTTACCTTTCAATTAAATGTATGTGTTTGTCACATTTATTCAATCCATCTTTTGCTGTAAAAAACTGCATTTAGAAATATGGAAATGCTGTTTCTCTGCAGGAATGTGTCTTTGTTTTTTTTTTTCTCGCCTCTTGACAATTTAAAGACACAAAAATGATCACATTTATCAATCACGGTGTTTATTTAGGAAAATGTCTTTATTTGGTTAAATTTACCGGCCAGCCTCTTCAGCAGGACACGCTGCATTATGAGCGCACCTCCCGAAAGCCTGGAATGCCTCCATTGGCTTCCAAGGAGGTATTGATTAATGCTTCTCTGGTCTCTGGTCAGGTCCCTGCTTACTTTAAGAACGCTGTAATCCACCCGCTTCTTAAAAAACCCAGTCTCGACCCCTCTCTCCATAGCAGCTTCAGACCCATCTCTAAACTTCCGTTCATCTCCAAGATCTTGGAAAAGGTTGTGGCTAAACAACTCACAGCTGCTCTTGATGAACATAACATCTATGATAGCTTCCAGTCAGGTTTTCGTAGAGCTCATTCTACTGAAACAGCTCTTCTTAGGGTCTCTAATGACCTTCTGACTCACAGTGATGCAGGGGACTGTTCTGTTCTGGTCCTGCTGGACCTGACTGCAGCCTTTGACACTGTTGACCATCACCTGCTACTGGAGAGGCTGAGAGACTGGGTAGGCCTATCAGGATCTGCTCTGGAGTGGTTCTCCTCTTATCTTTCTGAGCGCTCCTTTTCTGTGGATGTCTCCAAGTTTAGGTCCTCCACCACCTCGCTTACCCATGGTGTCCCACAAGGTTCTGTGCTGGGGCCTCTGCTCTTCCTCCTCTATCTGCTTCCTCTTCAGCACATCCTGAGCTCCTTCAAAGGAATCTCCTACCATCTTTATGCAGATGACTATGGCAAGCCAAATGAGCATTTATTCTGATATCAGGATATCAGCCAGAATTGTCATGAACATGTAAGCCATTTCTGTCCACTAGTTAACTAGTTAGCCATGTTTGTGTCAACTAGTTAAATAGTGACAGCCTAAATGTCAACTAGTTAACTAGTAAGGCCTAAATTCTCTCTAGTTAACTAGTTAAAATGTTTCATATCTTACTAGTTAACTAGTATTGCTCAGTGTGTTCACTAGTTAACTAGTGGACAGATCAATGTCCACTAGTTAACTAGTTAAAACACATTTAGTTTTTACTAGTCAACTAGTAAGGTACAAAAACTCGTACTAGCTGACTACTGAATGTAAAAATCCCACTTGTTAACTTTGCCCAATTTGGCCAGCCGCTTGAGCATTAATTCTGATATCTTGTCAACAGGTCAACTAGTTAACTAGTGAGGGTCAAACTGTACACGCTAGTTAACTAGTGAACACATTTTGACCTTCACTAGTTAACTAGTTGACACAAAAATGGCTCATTAGTTAACTAGTAAAGGCCAAAATGCATACCAGTCAGCTAGTTGAAGGTATTTGTGTCTCACTAGTTAACTAGTCAGGGTCAAAATGAGCCCACCAGTTAACTAGTGGGAGACGGAAATGTTCACTAGTTAACTAGTGAACACATTTTGGCTTCACTAGTTAACTAGGTGACACAAAATGGCTCACTAGTTAACTAGTAAAGGCCAAAATGCATACCAGTCAGCTAGTTGAAGGTTTTTGTGTCTCACTAGTTAACTAGTGATGACCAAAATGTGCACACCAGTTAACTAGTGACAGAAGAAATGCCCACTAGTTGACTAGTGAACACATTTTGGCTTCCTAGTTAACTAGGTGACACAAAAATGGCTCACTAGTTAACTAGTAAGGGCTAAAATGCATACCAGTCAGCTAGTTGAAGGTTTTTGTGTCTCACTAGTTAACTAGTGACAGTTCAAAGTGTCCACATGTTCACTAGTAAAGGCAAAACTCCTAACTAGTTAAGTAGTTGGAGTAGGGCAGTGCCACTAGTTAACTAGTGAACCATTAATGACTCACTATCTAGCTAGTTGATTGTACCAGGCTCACTAGTTACCTAGTTGATGCATCCATTGTCCAAACTAGTTAACTAGTGAGGACATAAATGTATACTAGTAAACTAGTTCAAGCCTACATTCACACTAGCTAGCTAGTTGCACAGAATTCTAATTAGGAGGCAGAGAATTTCTCAAATTGAGGCTTTCTATTGGCTCACTATGTTAAAATAAAATATGACAACCAATCACAGTGCGGAATTTTGCAAAATCCCACCCCAAACATTTGAATGCGGCACACAAGTTAACATGCTGGCCAGAGGAACCTCAGCTAGTAAACTAGTAGTGGCTTCAGTGTGACACTTACATGTAAACTTGTGAAGGCGGAACTGCTCACTAGTTAACTAGAGAGGGTACAAATGTCCACTAGTTAACTAGTGAGGTGCAAAATAAGTGTCACTAGTTCACTAGTGGGCCCCAAAATGCCCACAAGTTAACTAGTAAGGTGTGGATATGCTCACTAGTTAACTAGTGAGGTGCAGATTTGCTCACTAGTTAACTAGTGCACCCTTAAGCGCCCACTAGTTAACTAGTAAGGTGCAAAAAAGCATCACTAGTTAACTAGTAAGGTGCAGATATGCTCACTAGTTAACTAGTGGGCCCCAAAACGCCAACTAGTTAACTAGTTGGGTGCGGATTTGCTCACTAGTTAACTAGTGAGGCACAGATATGCTCACTAGTTAACTAGTGACGTGCGGATTTGCTTACTAGTTAACTAGTGAGGCGCAGATATGCTCACTAGTTAACTAGTGAGGTGCGGATTTGCTCACTAGTTAACTAGTGAGGTGCAGATTTGCTCACTAGTTAACTAGTGAGGTGCGGATTTGCTCACTAGTTAACTAGTGAGGTGCAGATATGCTCACTAGTTAACTAGTGAGCATATCTGCACCTCACTAGTACCTCACTAGTTAACTAGTGAGCATATCTGCACCTCATTAGTTAACTAGTGAGGTGCGGATTTGCTCACTAGTTAACTAGTTGCATCTAAAAACACATACAAGCTGACCATTTTTGTCCACTAGTTAACTAGTGGAACAATTGAAATTTCACCAGTTTACATGTGTGGCAGTGCAGCAGCTCACTAGTTAACTAGTGCCTGAAACACAAATTATGCATATTCTAATGAGAAGGCGGGCAGAAGACTCCTGTTGGGTATAAGAATCCCACCCAGTCTAAAACGTATGTGCTGTGGCCTCACAATCTGATGGGTGTCCCTGAGCGCCAAGGCTTGCACTCATTAGTCATGGTTTGACACCTACTGGTTGGTCGTTGCGGCGGGTTCGAATCCCGCAGATGGCATTCCGCAATTGCTGTAACATTATTTATTTTCTCTTTGTGTTGTAATGTTCAAAGTTTTATTGTTTTACTGCTTTTATTCCCCCCTCCCAAATCAAGTAAAGCACCTCGTTTGGTGTCGTGTAAGGGAGATCAGTTGGCGAGTTCAAGTCCCATTGAGGAGAATTGGAATTTAGTGTGCCAGTAATTTTATTGTAGTTCATTTTTGTTTGGTATTGAAAGTTTGGTATTGAAAAAGGCTAAATTAAAAATAATTATTGATATATATATATATATCTCCATCCATCCATCCATCCATCTTCCCAAGAAATAGATCAAATGACACTGAGGGAAAAAACTGTGGTTATTTTGGAGAGGGTGCTGGCTGCAAAACCACAAAGGCGGAGCTGCACCCCGCCCATTCACGCAAACTCAGCCTAGCCCACTGACTTCCGTTTTTGTTTTCAACTTTATCGCAAACTGACCTGACCCACATGAATTACGGCTGTTACTAGTTTACAGTCGTTAATGCTATGTTCTATACTCCAATTAAACAAGATAAATATAACTTGCTACATGACAAAGACTGAATATATCTCGAAATGAAAAGGTTTCTTTTAGCGAATATCTGCCTACAGCTGCTCTAATAAAAGTGGTGTACAACAGCACTTCAGTCTATTGAATGGCCTCTGGTAGTCTAGTGGTAAAATCATCTAAGTTGGTTTTTGCTTTCCCCTCAGCTGATGCTGGTTCGATTCTCGGTGGGGTCATCAGCAGTCTATTTAGCCACATTCAATTTGTTTGTATTTTAGTTGTAATGTTTCTTTTCAGCAAAATATTTATGTCGCTAAAAGTTCTTTGAATTTGGTCGTTCCTAAACAGCATTTTAGTTGAAACTCTGCTCACAAATGGACTCACACTGGCTAAATAAACGAATAAATAAATAAATAAACACATTATATGTTAAACGGTATACCAGTAAATTGTTGTAAACATAGTAC